GCTCCTGATGTGAAGGGAGGGTCCTGATGTGAAGGGGCTCCTGATTTGAAGGGAGGGCTCTGATGTGAAGGGGCTCCTGATTTGAAGGGAAGGCTCTGATGTGGAGGGCTCTGATGAGTGATATGGTGATGTGAAGGGGCTCCTGATTTGAAGGGAGGGCTCTGATGTGAAGGGGCTCCTGATTTGAAGGGAGGGTCCTGATGTGAAGGGGCTCCTGATTTGAAGGGAGGGTCCTGATGTGAAGGGGCTCCTGATTTGAAGGGAGGGCTCTGATGTGAAGGGGCTCCTGATTTGAAGGGAGGGCTCTGATGTGAAGGGGCTCCTGATTTGAAGGGAGGGCTCTGATGTGAAGGGGCTCCTGATGTTAAGGGGCCTGATTTGAAGAGAGGGCTCTGATGTGAAGGAAATCCTGACTTGAAGGGAAGTCTCTGATGTGAAGGGGCTTCTGATTTCAAAAGAAGGGCTCTGATGTAAAGGGACTCCCGATATGAAGGGGGACTCTGATGTAAAGGGGCTCCTGAATTGAAGGGGGACTCTGATGTAAAGGGGCTCCTGAATTGAAGGGAAGGCTCTGACGTGAAGGGACTCCCGATATGAAGGGGGACTCTGATGTGAAAAGGCTCCTGGTTTGAAGGGAGGGCTCTGATGTGAAGGGGCTCCTGATTTAAAGAGAAGGCGCTGATGTGAAGGGGCTCCTGATTTGAAGGGAAGGCTCTGACGTGAAGGGCTTTCTACATGATTATGTCATCTCTAAACCACCTGTGAAAAAGTGGGTGCAATGGGAAGGTCTTTGCAGCCTCAAGGTGTCTTAAATACCAAAGACTGGAAACAGCACTGGTAGAAGCAACAGGCTGCTCCTCTAGTTTACAGAGCGGTGTGCACCGCATCAACAGGAGCCAAAATGGTCTCTTAATTTGGGAGTAAATAGCAGAAGGCTGAGACTCCTCAGGGGAAAGTGTATCAGGCAAAGACTGGAATGACTCAGAATTAGATTCTCTGTGGCTGATGGCTAAATAAGCCACTAAGGCAGGGGTAGCAAACCTCCAGCCCTCCAGCTGTGGTGAAACTACAAATCCCCTGATGCATCTCTCTTCAGGAGTCATGTCTGTGGCTGTGAGAATCTAGCAATGCCTCATGCGATTTGTAGTTCCACCACAGCTGGAGGGCCGGAGGTTTGCTACCCCTGCACTAAGGCCTCGGGTAAATCAGGTACAGACTCTGTTGGGGAAGGGGTTGGCGATTTTGGCCATAGAGTCTAGCATGACTTTAGTGAAAACCTCAGCCGAAAGGGCAAAGAAACCAGCCACATCCAAAGGAGCTAAAGGGGATTATAAATAGACTCTGGAAGCGTGATTCTACACGGCAGACATCGGCACCATGAGTAGGCTTGCCGCAAGAAGCCGAGTAGACGTTAATAGAGAGTGAGCTTGGGGCACTCGTTACAGCGGGACTGTCACCCCTCCTTCCCTGTCTAGAATGATGCATGGTAGTAACACAACATAAGGCTCAAGGTATGAAGTACGGAAATGAAACCGAAACCTCTGGTAGCAGATGATAGTTGGATGGCAAGAGATGACCAAAGTCACTGTAGGTGGGCAGAAGGAATGGACAGAAGATTGAAGTCCCACTTGGATCTTTAAAGAATGAGCAGCAGTGAGGAGATACTTCCTCGACATTGTATGGCAGCCGCACCATTCTCCACCCAACAAAGGACGTTGGCATTCAGTCTGATAGTTAACCCTTTCTGTAGTTGAAATCACAGAATCTAAAAAGGTGCCTAGTGACCAATGTATATGGCAAAGATCCCAAACCACCATACTCATCAGAGAAAGGGCATGTGATGAGGCAATTGCCATGGCTCTGAAACTGGAAAGAGCTCCGCTGCTTACTGCGCCCTACACGGAATACAGTTCTTGAAGGTCACTTCCAGGCTACCCATGCAATGTCCAGATGCTGCACCCCAAAAATTACGCTGAGGGCCGCCACACTGGATAACTGCCAGTGTCCAGTCCTCCTGTAGGCAGCAGTATAACCAGATAATTAAAAGCTTTCCGTGTCCCTCAAAGGACCAGAAAAAGATCAATTCTGAAACGACATTACCGTGTTCAAGCTTATATGACATTTTAGTGATTGGGTTCTAGCCCTTTAAGATCACAGATCTGGTGTTAGGTCTACTATAATAGTGACAAGGCAGCTCTCGCAGATTAGCCCGTGAGAGATTTTGTGTGACTCAGTTAAAGCATTTTGCAGAAAATGCCACAGCGATACAACTGAACAAAGCAGCAGTCAAATGCCATGGCACGGGTAATGTCATTGCATAAGAAATATGATCTGAATTCCTTACGGTAGTATTTAAGGGTTAAATCCAAACAGCACTGAGACCCTTTTAATGCAGTCAGTCCAAGACGCCATAACCTCATCTAAGCCTACAGCAGTGAGAGCGGGGAGCCTCCTTTGAATTAGGGGGGTTACAGTCAATGGGAACATAGAACCTCCTGGCAGGATTCCCAGAACTCCACTGAACAGAAGAGTTGCTCTGATAATGTCTACAATCCGTGAGAAGAAAATAAACTTTTGCAGCATTCAGCACATTAACAAAGCTGTGATTTCCTTCACTATTGTACCGTCTCTGTAATTAGCTATTTTACAAAGTAGATGAATGTATAATGATCTGCATGCACAAAGCGCTATGCAGACCCAGATATTGTAATCATTGAGGACTGTATATATTGAGGAGAGAAAAAAGAAAATGAGATAGGAAAAAAAAAAAAAAGAGAGAAGGAGAATGGTGAAAGGTAAAAAAGAGAGTTAAGAGGGATGGGGGGAGAGGGAACGGATGAACTGATCGGGTTTAAAGTGAACCTGTGAGGCCAGAAATATAGAAGTTGCCCTATAGAGCAGGGGTGCCCACAATTTTTGTGTTAAGATCTACTTTTCAAATGACGAGCTACATGAGATCTACCAACTAAAAAAACTTCCCTCGCTCTCTCTCTCTCCTGGCTGTCTCTCCTTGTTCATCCTCTTGGCTGTCTCTCCTCTTTCTTGGCTGTCATTCCTCATTTTTTCTCCTAGCTGTCTCTCCTCTCTCTTCGCTCTCTTGGCTGTCTCTCCTCTCTCTTTCCTGGCTGTCTCTCCTTGCTCTCTCTTCCCTGGCTGTCTTTCCACCATTCACACCCTTCGTGATCTACCAGCATCAGCTTTGAGAGCTACTGGTAGATCACGATCTACCTAATGGGCACCCCTGCTATAGAGGGTGGCTGGTTTTTAAATATGAAGGCTCTGGGACTCACCATATAGGCTGTTACTGACCTGGAACAAGCATACAGGCGGTGAAGTGGGAAAAGTCTGTTCCCCATCCTACATACTTGTTAGGCAGTGAACTCAGGAACAGGATGACAACCCCAGAGCATGCATTGTTTAAACAAATCAGCAATGACAGCGTCCATATTTCTACCCCCTTTCAGGGAACGAATATGACTGCAAAAAGTATACTCCAATCAATACCAGAAACCTGATATCTGCTTGAACAAAAACAAACCTTTAATAACTGTTATGAAAAGTACAAAAAACAGGGTAAGTGCCGTTCCCTGGGAGAACCTGCTCAATCTTTATGTTGTAATTGTGGATTCTGGGGGTTCCGTGCATCCTTCTGCCCCTTGTGCGCTTTGTACTCACTGGCCGGCCAGTTTTGTCAGGACTTTCTTTTGTGCAGACTGCAATGTCAGAACAGGAGGCGCTTCCTTGTGACTGTGTGAGTGATCCTTCCCAGGGAGCGCTGCAGGTTAAATACAGACAAATTAGCACACAGCATTACAGAACAGCTACACAAGACTTCTGCTCTAATTACGGTAGAATAAATGCAGCTTGATGAAACGTTTTAAATATTAATAGCCCTTCAGTAGTTAAAAAAAAACAGCTTTCACTGCAATATTTACCCCTATTTCTGATGCTCTATAAATCCTGTATAATAATAATAATAATAATAATGCTGTCCCCAGCAAGCTCATGGTACTGGAGGTCGCCATGCGTCATTAAACCTACTTCCTGTAACTCCAGGACATCAAGTAACCACTCGTGGGGGGGTGTCATCCTGGGCTCACAGAGTTCTGCAAGTTGGTGACTTGTTTTTAAATATGAAGGGGGGGGAGAGAGAAGAAGGAGGAGGAAGAAGAAGAAGGGAGAAGAACAAGAAGGAAGGAAGAAAAAGGAAGGAGGAGAAGAAGAGGAAGAGAAAGGAGAAGGAGGAAGCAAGGAGAAGAACAAGAAGGAAGGAACAAGGGTTCATTCAGACAGGCGTACACGTCTGCATGGTGTGAGCGCCCTTTAAAAGACTAGGACAGGCACTGCGTGTAATTGCGCAGAGACAGTGTGCGTCCAAGTGTGGACACCTGGACCCGCATGAATGTGCAGGTTCGGGTGTGCATGTGACAGCGTGTAATTGCATGCAGCAGCGACCTCCCATCGGGAAGAACAGGCTCCTGCGTGCAATTACATGCAGCACCTGTCCCTTCTGGGATTGGGTCTTTTTACAGGCGTGCATGTCATATGGACATGTGCACTCGTGTAAATGAGCCCTAAAAAGGTGACCAAGTGTTGTATATAAAATGCACTCTAGTTTAAAGTGAACCTGTGAGGCCAGAAATATAGAAGTTGCCCTATAGAGGGTGACTTGTTTTTAAATATGAAGGCTCTAGGACTCTGACTTGGAACAAGCATACGGCCAGTGAAGTGGGAAAAGTCTTCCCCATCCCACATACTTGTTAGGCAGTGAATATGATAACAACCCCAGAGCCTGCACTACTAAAAGCAAATCATCAATGAAAGCTTCCATATTTCTACCCCTTTTACGGGAACTCATATAGGACTGTAAAAAGTATATTCCGATCAGTACCAGAAACTGATATTGGCTTTGACAAATACAAACCTTTAATAATGTAAAACTGTTATACAAAAATTAAAAAAAAGAAACAAGTAAGGAGCCGCTCCGGGGAAGGATCCGCTCAATCTCTTATATTGTAGTTGCGGATTTTGGGGTTCTTTGTGCTCTTTGTATTCACGGACCGGTTAGTCTTTTCTGGCCTCTTCCTGATTGCAGACTGTGGAGTCGGAATAGGAGACACTTTCTTGTGATTGCCTGACTGAGCCGTCCCAGGGAGCGCTGCAGGTTAAATACAGACAAATTAGCACATAGCATTACAGAACAGCTGTAATTACAAAGGCAGAATAAATGCAGCTTGATAAAGTGTACCCCTATCTCTGATGCAGTCTCCAGCAGAATTGGGGCTCTGGTAGTCACCTAAATTCATTCAACCTACTTCCTGTATGTCCAGGGCATTAAGAACCGACCCCTTAGGTATGTCACCTTGAGCTCACAGGAGAATGCTGCAGAGAACGCTATTCAGGTCATTACATGCTGCTGTTCTCTGCGGCATTCAAGACCTGCCCACTGCCGAAGGACAAAGACTCTTGATCTTCCCTGTGATCAGACCGTAGGCCAACCACTTCGAATGCGCACACCTGTTCTGGTGACTACTAAAAGGAGAATTACCCTCGTTTTGTAGAGATTTAAAAAAATTTCCTGTTGCATTTCCAGCACAGGAAGTGAAGGGAAATTTCCTGAATAGGACAGAGACAGCAAAGAAAAAACCCTTCCCTACTCTATGCCGTTTGATTCCAAAAAAAGGACAGTCCCTCCAATTGAGGAACAGCTGAACGCCATGCCTTTTGATGTCCGTTTTCCAGTGCTGGTGATGCTGAAAATTCTGCGATAGGTTCTCTTTAATGACAGATGTCCATAAATCTTGTAGCACTCCTTACCGGAAATCCCAAACGTGTTTATGGGTGCGGATGGTGCCGCACACAGTACAACTTTGTATAAAGATGTCATCAGCACACCAGCACGACCGAGTCCAAGTCGGTGCAAATCCATTTATTGATAGATGTCACTCAACTAATCAAGAGCTTTCGGGGCTGCACAGGGTCCCCTTCATCAAGCTCAGAGTAGACATACATATATTGAGTGACATCTATCAATAAATGGATTTGCACTGAATTGGACTCGGTCGTGCTGGTGTGCTGATGACATCTTTATACAAGGTTCTCTATAATGAGACACGCGCTGTCTATCTCAGTGGCCAAACACAAGTCAGTTGGTACACAGCAGCTGCTGAGCTAGGAGTGCAAGTAGATGATTTACCAGCACTCAGCAATGTGTAGCATTTCACCCAGACGGATAACTCACAATAGCCTAATAGCCTGATGTGAACACTGTTGACATTGTGTCTGATGGGGTAGTGCACAGATAACCCAGTGACAGCTCCATGCTGGATGAGGCAATAACGCAACACGCAGATGACCCTCTAGGTTTCTGCAACGCTGTTGCACTCTTACAACATGCAGGTGTGCGGGGCCAAAGCTGAAATCGCAGAGCTGCAAGTAGGTACCATTCTGGCCATTGATACAGGATGGTACCTACTTGCAGGGCCCTGATGCTTTATCTTTAACTTCCTGCACTGGAGTCTCTGCCCACGCTGACCAGTCCCACTGCGGTGACCACGTCATGCTGCTGCAGTTCCAGAGCCTGCTTAATGTGCACAGAAATTCTATCCTCTCCCTCTACCGAGACGAGAGCAAAGCGAGGACAGAGGATAAGATTTTTCTACTAGGATGTTTCTGCACTTTTATGTTACTGTAATTTTCAGGCCTAAAATGTGGAATATAACATGGGTACAAAAAATGAAAAAAAAAAAAGCCTCAGTCATGAAGGGGTTAAATCACTTTTACGCTATGTGCTGCATTACCATTATTGTCTTTCTGAGATACACAAAGAAGAACGGTTACTGTCTGCACACCGTAAAAAGCTGCCCGGGCTGGGGCATCCGAGATAAGTGAATTTGACGATACTATAGCTTTTGTCCGAGGGAGTGTGTGAAACACTGGTAGTGTGAGACGCACAAATAAATCACGTTGTTGGGGTTGTTGCAAGTTTGAAGTGTGGGTGAAAACCACGGACACTATATTCACTGGTCTCAGAGTTTGGATACCCATTTGTATCATTTGTACTGGTGGGTGAACAGAGTATGAAATATATTTAGCATTATACTTGTTTATTAGGTTTGTTTAAACTTACCAAATAATTTCATCTGTGTTTAAATAACCTCAACTCACGAGTGCTATTGTGAATATAGCCTTAGACCCCCTGACAGTCAATTCTAGCTCTCGAGGACTCTACTGGTGAGTTCCCGGGTCTGTAAACCTGCTGTGACCATTATGAGGGGTTCCCACCATCCCTTTATTGAGTTCCTGGGTCTGTATACCTGCTGTGCCCATAATAAGGAGTACTCACCATCCCTGTGCTGAGTTCCGGGGTCTGTACACCTGCTGTGCCCATTATGAGGGGCTTCCACCATCCATGCGCTCAGTTTCTGGGTCTGTACACCTGCTGTGCCCATTATGAGGGGTTTTCACCATCCCTGTGCTGAGTTCCTGGGTCTGTACACCTGCTGCACCCATTATGAGGGGCTCCCTTCATCCCTGTGCTGAGTTCCTGGGTCTGTACACCTGCTGTGTCCATTATGAGGGGCTCCCACCATCCCTACATTGAGTTCTCGGGTTTGCACACCTGCTGTGCCCATTAGGAAGCACTCCCACCATCCCTATGCTGAGTTCCTGGGTCTGTACACCTGCTGCACCCATTATGAGGGGCTCCCTTCATCCCTGTGCTGAGTTCCCAGGTCTGTACACCTGCTGTTCCCATTATGAGGGGAGTCCATCATCCCTGTGCTGAGTTCCTGGGTCTGTACACTTGCTGTGTCTATTATGAGGGGCTCCCACCATCCCTACATTGAGTTCTCGGGTTTGCACACCCGCTGTGCCCATTATGAAGGACTCCCACCATCCCTGTGCTGAGTTCCTGGGTCTGTACACCTGCTGTGCCCATTATGAGGGGCTCCCACCATCCCTGTGCTGAGTTCCTGGGTCTGTAAACCTGCTGTGCTCATTATGAGGGGAGTCCACCATCCCTGTGCTGAGTTCCTGGGTCTGTAAACCTGCTGTGCCCATTATGACGGGTTCCCACCATCCCTGCTGGATTTGTAATTTTGTATATTGTGAAGAATGTAACAGGACAAGCTGCTGGGCAAAAACAGCCCAAACTCCCAGAAACAGTGTCAGGAATGATCTCAGTGCTGTTGATTTCATGCAGACCTTTTCACCTACTTCCTGTGTACTTGAACTTGCTCCAGTGTCACATCACTGCTGTGGTCCAGACGATATAACTCGTATAAACAGAAATTCCAATTGTTTCTTCACTAAAGATTAATGCTAAAATACTAAAGAATTCATTCTGATGAAAAATCAGTGCTCCAAACTCAGATTAGGAAAATACACCCCACGCTGCTTAATGTTTTGCATCACGCGTCTCTAGCGACAATAATTAGGACATAGATTTTGTCAGAAAGCCAAACGGGGAGGGAGGGATTGCAGCTCGCACTGCTCTTGTACACAGATAACGCAAGCTATTTGTGCAATACAGTCCACATAAAACCTAAAGTAAACACAGCTCATGAACTAAAGGTAACGACCTGCAGTAACACCTCTGGGCTGATCATCTGCACATGCGGGTCAGCAAATAGAAAGCTTGTATTACTCAGCAATTATAAAGGGCACAAGAAGACAAAAATGTCTAGAAAGAAAAGTCTGGGCACCCAAACAGCTTCACATTTTGTTGTCTCACTAGAGCAGGGCTAGCAACCTCGGCACTCCAGTTGTTGGGGAACTACAAGTCCCATGAGGCATTGCAAGACTCTGACAAATACATGTATGACTCCCAGGGACAGAGGCATGATGGGATTTAAAGCTTTACCACAGCTGAAGTGCAGCGGTTATCTAACCTTGCACTAGAGAAACGACAAATGGAATCAAAGACAATTTCCACAAAATTGATTTCAAGTGGAGAAAAGGTTAAAAGGGACACAGGCCGAGAGGGGGCCATGAGATGGGAATTTTGTGCATGTCCATTTAGGAACCAAATAGGCAAACATACATCAGGAAATCTATAGTCCTTCAATGTACGGTCCTGTTTGTCCTATCACTCTTGGCAACTGGCACATCAGAAAAAATAGGATTTTTGCCCATTAAATCCTTTAATCTGAGTCCATTGAGGGACACAGCTCTATGAAGGGTTATGCTGCTGCTTCTAGGAGTATTGGACACTAGGCAAACAAAATAATTAAAAGCCTGTCACTTTAAGGATAAAACCCCTCCCACTTCACACCTGACAGGTGTAGCATGCAGTATATATGGAAATGAGTGGAGGGAGCTGTGTCCCTCAATGGACTCGAATAAAAAGAGAGATCCCCTGCTCACCATACAGCAATGGAGACCACTTTTTCAGATAGTGATGGTGCTCGTAGTGATGTCCACGGATGGCGCCGTGCGTATCCAAGGTTTTAGCAATGAATTTTGCCAGCACTCAAAGGATAGGATAAGATAAATACAAGTGTTCTTTTATTCAAAGAAGCATGTCACAAGTGTTAAATAGCCAACGTTTCGGAGCCACGCAGGGTACCTTCATCAGGGCTAACATCGTGACCTCAATGGGCTCCGAGAAAAGTATTTTATGGTAAGAACAAAATCCTATTTTTCTAACATTTATTGAGAAATATAATATGTAGGGACGTTCAAACGTTGTCCAAAAAGAGGGGCGGACACCACAATAACCAGAAGAACTTGGTCAACAACAAAAAAGGAACTGTAAATATACTGTGGCATACCCCACCTTTCAAGGCCAATCTGGTGCGACAAAATTGACTGGAACTCCTTCGTGTTCCCGCGAAGCAGACGAGGTAACAAGGTTAGTGAAGGAAAGGCATACATCAGGGTGCACTGATCCACGGGGCTACTAAGGCATCCAATGCATCTGCCGTTGGATCCCTCGTTCTGGACACAAATCTGCCCATCTTTTTGTTGTGTTGAGAAGCTAGAAGGTCCACATCTGTTGCCCCCCAGCGCTGACAAAGATGTTGAAACACTTCCGGATGAAGAGACCGTTCTCCCAGATCCAGATTTTGTCTGCTGAGAAAGTGCACATGTCAGTTTTCTACTCCTGTGGACTGCTGAGATGACTGGAACATGAAGTACCTCCCAATCCAAGATCAAATGAACCTCCATCGCCGCTGACACACACCTGGTGCCCCCCTGGTGATTGATGTATGCCACCACTATAGCATTGTTCAACTGAATCTGAACCGGACAACCTGTTAGGAGACCAGTGAGATATCAACAGGCTAATTGCCCTCAACTTCACAACATTTATAGGAAGCTTGGATTCTTCTGGAGACCAGCAACCCTAGAAAGACAGATGATCCAATAAACCGCCTCCTCCCGCAAGACTGATGTCCGTTGTGACAATCTTCCATTCTATGGGAAGAAATTGCTTTCTCATTGTTAAAGCAGGTGACGTCAACCACCACGATAGAAACATCGCGGCCAGGGCACTCAATCTGATCATCTTACCTAGAGATAGAGTAGACTTGTCCCACGCCGTAAGAATGTTCCTCTGCAAAGGCCTGGAATGGAGCTGAGCAAATGGAATCGCTTCGAAGGTGGATACCAACAGACCCAAAACTCTTATGCAAGTTCTAAGAGAGTCAGACGAGACTGTTCCCGAAGTAAATGATCATCTAAGTATCCAATAATCGGAATACCCTTGTGATGAAAGAGCCCCAGAATTGGAGCAAGAACTTTTGTAAAAACCCTTGGAGCTGAAGATAGACCAAAGGGAAGAGCCACAAATTGATAATGAAGGTCGCCTACGGCAAAGCGAAGAAAACGCTGATTTGATGAGCTGGAAATACAGAAATGTGTGGCTACATATCCTTTATGTTTATGGAGACTAAGAAATCTTCTTGACAAAGGGATGCGACAACCAACCAAATGGATTCCATACGTAATTTCTGAACACGTACAAATGCATTGAGATCTTTTAAACCTATAATTGGACAAAGGCCTCCATTGGATTTGAGAACCGTAAACAGGTTTGAGGAAAACCTCGAAACATTCTGTCAAAGGATAGGGAATAAAAAAAAACCCTGATCTAACAAAGACCTTGAACTGCACAAAAACGGTCTATATGACATTGCAGAGACATGATAAGCTGAGACGCAAAGAACCGAGGAGAAGGAGGAAGATGAAACTATATCTTGTAACCAGTGGAAACCATCTCACTGACCCAAGCGTCTGAAATGTGATCTTGCCATGTCTCTTCAAATTCCTTTCCAAGATGGGAAAGGTAGGGGCCGGCCTTCATGCCGAAGTGGATTATTCTGAAGGTTTTGGATTGCCAAGGATGTCTACAGCAGGGGTAGCCAAACTGCGGCCCTCCAGCTGTGGGGAAACTACAAATTCTATCATGCATCTGCCTCAGTAGGCCACGCCTGTGGCTGTCAGAGACTTGCAATGCCTAATGGGACTTGTAGTTTCATCACAGCTGGAGGGCCGCAGTTTGGCTACCCCTGGTCTACAGGGTCCGAAAGACTTGAAATGGTCAATTATTTTGAGAATAGGAATGGAAACCCTGTTTGGAAGAACAAAAGGAAGACTTAAAGGATGGAAAGGAAAGAACCGTATTACGATGCTGGTCCTTATTTTTCTGCATCTGAGTAAGTGCTCACTTTCATGTCCTGTAGCCTTTTTAATAATTTTATCCAACGAATTCCCGAAAAGTCGATTATCAATAAATGGTAAATGCAAAAGTCCTATTATACATTAGGGTTCCACCCACCAACTCATATGCCATACAGTTATGAATCTGAACTAAAGATGCAGACACCAGACGACAAGCATCAAGAACCACATCACACATGAAGTGAGTAGCGACAGCCATCCGATTAAGACATCAATAAAATGTCGATCAACTCCAGCAGTTGCCTTATCAGAAGAGATTTTGTTCAAGTGGCCAAAGTCTGAGAAATGAGGACTGTAGCTAATAAAGCTTCAAGAGCAGAACCAGTTAATGAATGAATTGTATGGGAAAGATTCTCCAATTGTTTGTCAGTAGTATCCTTAAATGAAGGATCATCATCAATAGGAATAATTAACACCCGGAGAAATGTTGAGGGTCAGTTTGAGAGTCTCTGTTCCAAAAGATGGAACAGCTTAGCACAACCTTGGGCAGAACTCAGGGCTCTGTGCACAGTGAGCACCCATATTCCAGGGATCCCAGAAGTTGATCTGAAGTTTAGAATAAACCCTTGCAGGTACCACAATACGCCTGTAATTTAGGAATGCTGTTAAATGCTTTTAGTACCAGACAGGTTCTTCTGCAAAATCTCTTATTGTTTAAAATAAGAATATTCAAATTCTGTCACAATTAACATTTGGTAGAGCAAACCTACCGCCAATCTAGAGTCAGGTGAGGTTTCATAAATAGGAATATTTAGGTAATTTAAAGACTTTCAAGACACTGACGTACAAGGACCAACATGACAGACACTGCTCCTTACTCCTTGCCCGCACACATTTCTTCACAAACCTTTGTTAATCAATGCTGCTCTGAAGGAAAGGCAGGGGTTGTCACTTCTGATCACATTCTGAGAAAGCTAGATACTTGGCGGTAATTATGATCCACTGGCTTCAATAAGTGAACCTGCCCTCTACTCTGAGGCCCTTAATAAGCAAGCACAGGGCACCTGCTATTAACTCTTTTGTTCTCTGCTCCATATTAAAAAAAATAACAGTGTTTTACTTAATTTTACAATGCTGGTTCTAACCTTCTTTCCATTTAAAAGGTGCTGGATCATCTGATCTGTAGTGGCTTTTAAATACCTAGCACAGTATCTGGAGTTTCACCTTGTTCAGTTTCCTCCTGGGAGCTGAGCAGTGACAGACTTGATCCCATATCCAACACCTTCCAAACTTCTTGCAAAGATGTGTCGACGTCTGTCAGTGAGGCTGCGGAATGCAAGGATCGGGCGCTGCTCACGTGATGCACACGAGGTGATGGTGACAGGTTCTCTTTCTGTGTTGGTTTTGCTTCAGTAGTCTGTGAAGCATTAACATGTTCAATAAACAAGGCACATATATTGGCTTACTGGTAAAACAAAAAATCATGCTCATTTTAATACATGCCTGCCAAACACCCGTGGGAGTCTCCACTGTGTCTTGATCATTTACACATAATCCTTACCGGAGCTTTGCTAACTATCTTCCTAATATGTTATAACCCCACATTATCTATTTTATGCATGCAGGTGTTCAGTTTGGGTATGTCAACTGGAGGAGGGATGTACACGTTGCTTATGGTTAAAGTGTTGACCAAAGTGTTCAAAAAGCAGAATGACATAACAATCCAGGGGGTCGGTTTTTACCTCTGCAGTCTATACATTAAGGACCTGATGTATAAAAATTCCGCTCAGGATATAGCTGAGTGATTGCCGTTTGCATGGCACTACTGCCACTAGATGAAGCCAAGGAGAATAGGAAATTCATCAGCCCCTAAGTGACTTAGATTTTTTAAAATAGTCACCCCCCCCCCTTGGAAAGGGAGAAATAGGTGGAAAGAAAGGTGTGTGTGCTGTGGAGTGCCTCTTCAGAGCCATGTCTTTGGAGCCCACTAAATGTGTGTCTTGAAGAGTTACATGAGGCTTAATTCTGTTAATTTGATCGATCAAAGCAATCAAGTGATGACCTTTGGATTTTCGAATAAAGGCCCCCGGACATTCCAGAACAGAAGATTAAGTATATTCAACATTTAAATAAGAAAATGACCAGCGGAAAAAAAAAAAAAGAATGACCAGCGAAACGTCTGCAAGAAAAATACAGCAAGTCCAGTTGCTCTGACTTATTTTTTAAAGATATGTCTGATAAATGTGTTTCAAGATTGCCATTTTGCACTTGTTTAAATGATTAAATATTATTCATGTGACCCCAAATGTCAGTTTAATATCCTAAAGGGTCCCAATGTATATGTATTCATTTGCAATAGTTTTGGAACCCCTTAGTAAACCTTGCAATGAATGTCAAGTCTATCAATCTGGAGACCCTCCAAGATTTTAGATCCCTGTGCAAATGTTACAAGCTTAGGGCCAGGACTGATTATAAGATTAATTTTTAATACAGAGAGCAGTGTGGCAGTATTACACAGACAGGAAAGACTTGGGCCGACACCAGAAAACATGGAGTTTTGTTGGACAAAGATTGAGGAAAAATAAGGATGCAGAGCTGCGATCAGAATATCTTAGTGCAGAGGATATATAAGAGGCACTCTTGGCACAGTTGTGATAGTCGGTCCTTGCAGACACTTGCAGTCTGTGCCAAGAAGAACAGAGGCGGACCTGTAAACTCTGAATGGACAATCATACAGTGAGCTCTTGGCTCCCCTCCAAAGGTGGGAGACTGTGTCACTGGAGACATGGGGATGCTTTCAGAATGCTTAAAGCGTATGCAAGCCCAAAATCTATTTTTCAGTATGCCTGGCAACATTCCTCACTGTATACAGCTTTCCCAAGCTAATTTCTTTTTATGAATCTGTCGCTTGCCTGCTTCAGGATGACAAAACCAAGCCCCTGCCTGACAATTAGTAGCAGTACCGTTAGCCTGCCGTGTGCACACCTTCAGTTATAGGGCTGTCTATCAGGTCTATCGGTTAGACAGCTCTGTCTTGTGATGGAGGGAAAATCTGAAATTACTGGACTCCATGTCAGTCTATGGGGAATCGGATGTAAACAGACATGTGTCCATCAGATTACCCCTGTTTCGGCACAATCAGGTCCGGCGAAACGGATCTCTGATGTGTTTATTTTTCTGGACCTGGCTGGAGTCTGGGGTAAACTGACGTCCGTCCATCTACACATGGCTGTCCATAGACTAACATTGGGCATCCGATCATTGTCCACTTAAAAGACTAACAGGAGGACCTGATTGGACCGTCCGTGTGAAAGGGGCCTTAACGTGGAGTTCCAGCCAAAACTTTTTTTCTGATTTCAGATAGAGAAGTGTTTCCGCCACACGGGACAGCAATGAAAACCACTCTACTACTTCCTAGGTAAACGTTCTCTATTTGTGGTGGGAGCTACTATTTGGACAGATGAAGCAGATGCTCTGTCCAATGAATAAGCTGGAGGCAGGGAGGTGACATAAGAAGCAGCATTTCTGAGCCCGGAAATAAGCGTGTTGCCTGCCAGGCTGTGCAATAAATCAGATATGTGTAAACTGCAAGACTGGCAGAAAGAATTGAAATTTATTTTGACATCCATGCATTAAACTGAGCATTTAGTTATGTGTTTGGAGTTAGGTTTTAATTACACAGGCTCGCTATTTTCTAGACATGTGCACTGCCAAAAAATTCGTTTCGTTTCAAATTCGGATTTGTGTTATTTCGTTTTTCGGGATTCGGGTGTGAAAGTCAATTCGGATTCGGAATTCGGATTCGGACAAAATTCGGTAGCGTTAGTACGAACGTTCGTTTCGTTTTCTGTTCTTATTCGTTTCGTTCGTTTGCAGCAAAAGTGACATTTGGGTGGGAAAAAATATTTTTTCTCCTTCTCTAATGTCACTTTGCTCCAACGAACGAAACGAATAAGAAACGAATAAGAACAGAAAACGAAACGAACGTTCGTGCGAACGCTACCGAATTTCGGAAATGGAAATTCGGATAAGTTTGCATTCGTTATGTCTGTAATTCGGAATTCGGATACATCCGAATGTCCGAATTTAAGAAAATTCGTCCGAATTTCGATTCGGAACGAAACGAATCGCACATGTCTACTATTTTCCCCTGTGACCAGCAACACAAGTGGAATCATAACCCTGAATTTGTGTACTGATCATTTACCTGCATTGCGGAGCTGTCACCGTGCAATTGGGGTTTGGCTCTGGCATTAAAATGACCATTTGCAGACACACTGGGAGGTTTCTGGTATTGAGCAAATTGTAACTCCTGTAAAGAAAAATGGGCAATAATGATGACACAGTCCTACTGCCACAAAGATGTTATATAGAGCAGTAAATGAACTGGTCTACTTAAATGGAACAAATATAACAAACGACTTCTTAATGCAGCTGTAGTTTCATGTGAATCACTGAATAAATGTTTCATATTTCTTGCGTAAATGGCAAAAATGTTTATATTAAATGCCCATAATTACTAGCACAACAGAAAACAGGCTGAGAGTGGGAGTGACTGTGTTGGAAGCCAGTTACTGTGAGCTGTATCAAGTGGCTGTGTAAAGACTACATATTCAAGCAAGATATGTGTTGTTCCCTATTTCACACGAGTGGTCCGATCGGGTCCACCTGTCACTTTTTCAGGTGGACCCGATCGGATGCCCAATGTTAGTCTATGGGCAGCCGTGTGTAAACGGTTGGGTGGTCGTTTACACTTGGTTACCCTGACTCCAGCCAAGTCCAGAAAAAGCAAATGGATCAGAAATCCATTTCGCCGGACCCGATTGTGCCAGATCGGGGGTAATCTGATCTAAACAAACATGTCTGTTTACATCCGATTCCCCATAGACTGACATGGGGTCTGGTCATTTCAGTTTTTCCCTCCATCGCAGAATAGAGGAAGAAACTGGACAGACACGAATATCACAGAGGTGACATCCGCTCTGCACAGCTCTGATCAGGAGGGGATCCTTCCTGATCAGCCCATGTGAAAGGGGCTTTTGTGGGTAGCAAGTGTGATTCCGTAAAACATAATCAGACGAATAAAAATTAAAAGAACAACAATCCACGGCACGTCAGCTGAAGAGAAGCAGCTCAAGGGTCAGCCCGCCCAAAAAGAAAATTTTGGCAGATGCTGGACAGCATAGTGGGGTGGGAGTGACATGGTCTTGTATTCCATTTTCATGAAAATGCACATTACCTGGGATGTTAGCTGGTACTGAAGACGTTCCAGTTCTGAAAGGCGGCTCTGAGGTTTTGGTTTTCCAGTAACCACGTGTCTAGAAGTGGATGCTGCGTTTGCTACAAAAAAAAATAAACATTTTTAATTTATCTGAGAAATGTGGAATTGTAAAGTTAGACTAGCCACAGACTCCAGACAGAAATCAAGAGAAATCATTAGATTCCCCCATCCAGGCTAAACAGTGTGAATACAGGAATCTCCGCTGCCTGATACCGTATTTATGTAGTTTGTGAATACATGAACAGTGCCCTCATCTGATTGGACACAGGCACTGTTAGGCCAATAATTTTCCACCAGACTCCTTTGATAAAAAACCAACTGCCTTGCTTACTATTTACTCAAGCCAAGTGTAAGCACCCGGCACATACTGCAGCTCTGATTGCAGAGGATTTCAGTCATGTGACCCCCCGATGGTCACATGATGGAAAAACGTGCATACATGCTCGGATCTTCTGGAGCTGTTGCTGAAGCCAATGCCATTCGATTCAGGATGGCAGCTCCCAGCAATGGTTTCAGGACTATTTGCACATCACCAAAGGAAGAACCTTCCAGGGACAACAATTCAATTAACTGTTCATATGATTAAGAAAACTTTTTTAAAGGATTTTCTGGGGGCAGAGTATCTTTGAAGTGTATGTCAAGCCAAAACTTTCTTTTTTTCTTTAGCTAAAAGTAGGTAAAATGTAAATTTTGGGTTACTGTGACCAATGGGGAGATTTACTTTTTACATCCTGTCCTAGGGTCGCATCCAAAAATGAAAGGAAATCTCTCTAAAGTGAGGGAAATTCTCTAGCCTTTCTCTACTTAATAAAAAAAGAAAAAACTTACACTTTAAGTTTTTTCCCCCATAAACACTAAAGTAGTATAGAATTTAGGATGGGAGGGTGTCCAAAGGGCTGCCCATTATATTAACACTCCCCCATAATGATCTTCACCTTCCGCCAATTCTGCTTGCAGTCTGTTCCCTTTCTCAATCAGTTGTTGTTTCTCCATGTTGAGCCGAGAAAATCTTTTGACTGCTTCTTTCAGTTTCCTCTTCAGTATGGCAGGGTTGGTTGGTCCATCACCTGATGATGTTAGGGAGGCCAATTGCTGGTGCAGGGCCAGGACCTCTTCACGTAGCTGTCTCACAGCCTCACTCTGTTAGGAAATAAAATGAATACTGAACAGACTTGAAGGTTGATAAAACAGGGTTTTGTGTTCATGGTAAAATAATTTTCTTGGAGACTGAGGGACACATGATGTCTTTTACCTTCAAATTATACTGTTGCCTACAAGAAGACTGTACAGGGGCAAACAAAAAAAAACTGTAGGCCAGCACAGGGTAACCCCTCCTACTACTAGCATGTCTAAAGGTGCCCATACACTGCTCGATTCTCGTACGAGAATCGCGGGAAATCCCGCGATCGTACGAGAATCGAGCAGTGTGAACGGAGACGTGCGACCGTTTCTACTGTACGGTCGCATGTCTTCCGTCGAACCAGCATGTTCGAAAACCAGCCGGGAATCGTACGATTCTCAGCTGGTTAGAACGGTGATCGGAAGACAAATGCTGAACGGGCCGGTGTGCGCACGCGCACACTGCCCGTTCAGCATTGCGGTCATCGGAAGCCCGCCCCTCAGGGGGGCGGGCTTGCGATGATCGAGAGTGCGATCTGCCTGTCCAAGATAGGCAGATCGTACGTTTTTTTAATCCCTTTACAACCATCGCAAGACTAAGGTCTTGCGATGGTTGTACATTTTATGGCCACCTTTAGTTTAGAAGCTGAGAGCACGGTGATAATCAGAGAGGTGGCACCTGTGTCCTTCAACAGACTTCAAGAAGACCCCTCACCCCTCACAGCCCCTCCTAACATTTAAAAGAAACAGAAGCAAGAAGAAATTTTAACCCTCAAAAACCTAACCCGAGTAAAAGCAATTTAAACTGCAAGGATTTTTTAGCTTATGCTATGTGAATGGGAACATGTAACAAATATAAAATAGGCGTTATCCCAATTTGACTACGAAAGTGGAAATACGCTATAAAGTAACACTAAACCCCAAATCTTAAAAATGCATTTAAGTACCCTAATAACAACAATGTATTTTATTTGTGTATCACTCGGCTGTAGATCCTCAAATCATCTCTGAATTGGTGCTGACACTGTCCTTCCTTCTGGTGGGTGGCTACTTTTGTTCCCCATGGTCCCTGTGTGTGTTGTAAAGAAGTCATCGCTCCAAGCTCACTCCTGTGATGGACTACAATCTCATGTTTAGTTTACAGATTTCTATTGAGATTGTAGTCCATTAAGGGGGCGAGCTTGGAGCGGTGACTACTCTACAACACACACGGGGACCATGGGGAACAAAAGTAGCCACCCTCCAGAAGGAAGGACAGTGTCAGCACCAATTCAGAGATGATTTGAGGATCTACAGCCGAGTGATACACAAATAAGTTAATAAAAATTGGTAATATTTAAGATACCTGAATGCCTTTCTAAGATTTAACTGCTGAGTTTAGTGTCACTTTACCAGCTGGCGAACCAGCCCAACACAAAAAGAAAAAAAAACAGTGGCATCAAACAGCCTCCTAAATAAACTTCCTGCCAAAACTAGTATCAGAGAAGGCAGAAACATCAGCTTTGTAAAACACAGAAAAAAAGTGTGAACAGAAGACCAGGTTGCAGCTTTACAAATCTGGGTAATCAAAGCTTGATGACAAAAAGTACTGCGGCAAGACCGAAGGGATAAGCCGCAAACTAATAATAAAGTTTGCTGATGGCAAAAAGAAAGTAACGCTGATGACCTGGAAAGATAATAGTGACCAACAATGACAGAATGTTGCGTTGTAGAGGTCTGAAGTTTGGTAGCCCCACTGCAAGTGTTAAGAACATTTGTTCCCGGAGTACTTCTTTAAAATACATTTTTTAGAATACGTATGTGGAGTGTAAATACACAGAGAATTGACATGGGACATTCTCCAGGCCCATCAGAGGTGGTATATATACTCCCGTGGCTGGGTAGCACTGCACAATGCCCTCAGTATGTACGTTTGTGACAATCTTCCAGCAGCTCAGAACATAAATACATACCTCGCTGAGCACCACAGGGACTCGCTGACTGGCCAGTTCCAGCTTCAGTGCACACACCTATAGGCAACAAAAGCACAGTGAGAAAGACAGGATCAAACTCTTAGGAGCATTTCTGGTACATGAAATAACCAGATAACATAGCCTATTGGAACATTATACACTGCAAAATCCCTTCTGTAAAAGCAAACTGACTTTTATGGGGTCTGCTATTCACACTTTTATGGGGTCTGCTATTCACACTTGCATTGATGAGCGGGTCTGAAAAGTGCCCAAACAATACACGGTGATACAATTTACAGTAAAGGGGCTTTGCTATATAAAACGTGTGTTAAGCACCATGATGTTGGGAAAGGGGGTAGCGAACACATAGTTTGTTAGTTGAGTGCGTCACTGGCCTAAACATCAGCTGCATTCCTATTGATGACAAAGTGTTAATGAGCTGCATTAAGTATTTTTAATAGTTACCCGTTTAAAAAAAAATATCAATATATTGCTATTTAATTAGACAACTGTTATCTTTAAAGTACGAGAAAAACTAAACTGTAAATATTTCCTTATGAATATATACAGCAACTTACATTTGTATATTAGAATATATACAGTATATCATTATTCTGTGGCAAGAGAGACACCTGCTGGCACCACATGGTATAACCTGATACAGCTAGACCAGGTCTGTCGAACCTTTCCCATAGTGGGCCAGGTTTTTATTGCTGTCTGTGTCCCCGTTAGGGAAAGTCACCATATCTATTTGTCCTAGTTACTGTTACCACTGAAAGTGAAAGAAAACTCCACATTTTTGGAACTCGCCCAATGGGGACACTAGTTCTGGTGTTCTTCTGACCACCAGGGATTTTCTCTCACTTCCCGCTGTGGCTATTGGACAGAAATAAAGGCAAGTCTTCTCAATGCAAGTCTTCTCTTGTGATGCACAAGAAGATGCACTTCTCAAAGGCAAGTCTTCTCTTGTGATGCACCAATACCGTTTTTTCGCAGATACTGAATACTGATACCGAAAGTCCCATTCAGGAAGCCGGGCGGCGTGTAATGACTTGCCGCCCCGCTTCCCGATTAGCCGTCTCCACAGTCCCTCGTCGCCAGGTGACGAGAAAGCATGGAGCCGGCTTTCTGGCCAATCAGAAAGCCGAGGGGCAGGTAATGACTCACCGCCTGGCTTCCTGATTGGCGAGCTTCCCAACCAATCAGGAAGCTGGGAGGTGAGTCATTACATGGTGCCCGGCTTCCTGATTGGCCAGGAAGCCGGCTCCATGCTCCCTCGTCACCAAGTGACGAAGGAGCATGGAGCCGGTTTCCCGGCCAATCAGGAAGCCAGAGTCATTATCAACCCCCCCTAGCTTCCCGATTGGCCGGGAAGCCAGCTCCATGCTCCCTGGTGACGAGGGAACATAGAGCCGGCTTCCTGGGGGCGAGTCATTACACGCCGCCCGGCTTCTTGATACCGGAAGTTCCTGACACTGCTGTATATTAATGCCATGCGCCCAAAACAGCCACAGAGGGCAGAGTGCACAAGGCAGCAGATTCATCAGCTATCGGGACCACAGCAAGAGCTGGGCAGATTACTTCCCTGCACAGTATGCATTACTTGGGCACTACCATGCTGCAGCATTAAAGTCACACAATATCGCCAGTGAGTGGACAGCCAGAGACTGTAAACATTTGGGTTAAATCTCAGTGTTCATACACTGGAAAGACTGATTTTTAACTCACTTAACGGACAAATTCAGAACATATTCAGAAATGAACACAATATTATGGAGAACTACTGACCTCATTCCCAAGTCCAACTGTCTCCAGATTTTGCTTCAGGTTGCCTTTAAAATATTCTTCCGCCTCTTTCCGGGCTTCACTGAGCTGCAGTTCCAATTCAGACTGTCTTAGTTGGAGGCTGGAGATGGTGGCCTGGCTGTGACGAGTCTCATTGTTCAGTTGAAACTGAAGCTGATTGATTTCTGCCTGTTTTTGCTGGACCTAAGCAAACAGCCATTCATCCAAACGTGCTTTAATTATTCACATGATCATTTAACTATGACAGTAATAAAAAAATGTGTAGACACGTGTGCTGTCATCCCAATCCCCCATGTGTTTTTTTAGGTGTGACATTGTTGTAAAAAGAAGGAAGACTTATCTGGAAAGGCAAAAGCACTATGGAGGAGTGCAGGTGTATAAAGGGCCATATGAATCCTCAGTGGGAAGGGGGGGGATTTTTAGGTTGTAAAATGTGATCCTTGATCTATCAGGGTCCCCATGCTTCCTACCTATTGGACTGTAAAAAGATTTTTTTGAAACCTCATTCTTAATTTTAGCCTGAAGAATAATTAAAGGGGTTTCTACTTCAATTATCAATGTGAAACAACGAAAGAAGGAGCGCTACAACCCTGGAATACTGGGTGTTTACAGTTAAACAGTTAAAATATATAGTGTAACTATTGATGCAGACTCACTTTTGGACGGACGAGGTGGTATCTTGCCGTTAATTGTCAGCACGGCTCGCAGGGCGGAATCTGTGGCTGGTCTGTGTGGGAGTGAGCTCCAGGCTGTGGGGCTTCTGTCCGTCCAAAAGTGAGTCTGCATCAATAGTTACACTATATCTTTTAACTGTTTAACTGTTAAACACCCAGTATTCCAGGGTTGTAGCGCTCCTTCTTTCGTTGTTTCACATTGTCTACAGGGTTCCTCTCCCTGATTTAGGAGCTCGCTCACCCACACCCGGTATTTAAAGTTTTTTATTTTTATTTATTTAATTATATATATAAAATAAAAAAAGTTTTTTAAAAAAAGTTTTTTTAAGAAAGTGCTTTTAAAGTTTTTTTAAAGCTATTTAAGGTTTTTCCATACTGTCCACACCTGTTGTGCGCTCGCCACTCCCATTGTTATTATCTTACTTCAATTATCAAACAGTCCAAGTCATGGTTGGCTAAATGTATAAAGGAAAGCTGCCAGTACAGCCATCTGTCAAACCCAAGCTCCCACCCAGCTATCACCTGACCTGAGTGGTGTCAATTCCCGGGGCAGACATATCACTGTGCATGATGCTGCAGAAGTGTGCTTAGTCCTGGAGCTAGAGTCACATCCAAAGATGAGAATGGGAACTTCATGTGTGGTGTTCAGAGTGGTAACAGCCATCCTGGTCAGGTCAACTTTTTAATGTAAACTCTATCAATCACTTTAATTAAGCCCGTTTCTCAGTAATGATGTCTTTTCTATACATTGGAGAGTGGGCAGCTCAAGCAGAACAGTGTGGATGCTATTTTAGCTCCCTAGAGTTGAGCTGCAGAACCATCCCTGGATCATAATAAGTGATTGGAAGTAAATTCAGGAAATCTGTTGCACTGGTGATTCAATCTCCTTGGCCCTGAACTTGGTCTGCAAGGTGGATAGCTTACTGGGAAGGAGGGAGGCATCCTTGATCCAAGAGCATAGGCCCCTTATGCAGAGGCAAACGAAAAGAAGCTGCTCTACCTCCTCAGGCCCAAACCCTCTCATGCAGAAGACTGTGGAGAGAAAATCCCTCTGTGATATAACAATCCAAATAAGAAAGTACTATACTTTCTTATTACATGTTCTGCAACTAAGTGAAAGCAGGACCACATGGAATTCCATTCATTGTAGTCTGTAAGTTAGGGGCAGGAGCCAATATTATGGGTAGAGTGCAGATGTCCCAAATAAAGGGCACCAAAGACAAACCTAGTATGAAGTATAAAGGACCCCTTGGATCAGTTCACTTGGACCTAATTGGTGACCTGTTGCAAACTTCCTGCTGCAGGTTTGGTATAGCATTCCAAATCAATTTTTGCTAATTATGATGTTATCTAGCACGTAGGTGACTTTTATACGCTCAGAACATGTCATGCTGCACATATGGAAGAAGTAAGGATCATGGCTGCAGATAGCAACAACAAAATGGGAGCTGGCCACGTAATTTTTATCTCTCCTCATGGCTTTGTTTGCCTAACAAAAATTACATTACAGAGTGCTAGTTTAGCACATTTATGTTGCTTGAAAACAGCATAGCATAAGCTATAATTTCCCTTTAAAACATAGTGGAAAGTCAAGCAAAAAACACATCATAGGGAATTCTAATATTAGAGGCCGGACCATTACAGAGATTGGAAACTTGTGGTGGTTCTGCTGCACTAATTATGAAGGTCCAGAGTTACCTAAGTTACCTACTTGTAGTGGTTCTGCTTCACTAATTATGAAGGTCCAGAGTTACCTACTTGTAGTGGTTCTGCTTCACTAATTATGAAGGTCCAGAGTTACCTACTTGTAGTGGTTCTGCTTCACTAATTATGAAGGTCCAGAGTTACCTACTTGTAGTGGTTCTGCTTCACTAATTATGAAGGTCCAGAGTTACCTACTTGTAGTGGTTCTGCTTCACTAATTATGAAGGTCCTGAGTTACCTACTTGTAGTGGTTCTGCTGCACTAATTACGAAGGTCCAGATTTACCTTCCGTGTAAGCTCAGCAACCATTGATTCCAGGTGGGCTGTTCTGGCTTCCAGTCTCTTAGCAGCTGCTGCAGATGCCACTTTATCTGCTCTTAAAGCACCTAAAACGCAAGACAAAATTAGAACAGTGCAGGGGAATACACATTCTTGCTATTTTACATGACGGAATAAATGTCAGTTAAAGTACCGCAGCGCTGAATACTGAAAAATGGCCTGGATGGGAAGGGGGTTTAACACCGCGGATGTCAACTGGTTAAATAATGCAGAAGTCTAAAACGCAAAGCTATACAAAAAGTGATCTTTCACCAACATATCTTTAGCTACCTATGGTTTCATTTAAGCTCCCGATGTGAGTTTGGATGTAGGCGTTGTCAGGTAGCACTGGTTTTGAAGTGGACGGCAGATCAGGAGAATATTTCTGTGACTGAGCCAACTCAAGCTGCTCTTCCAACTCCCTATACCTTTGTTTTAGATCCTTGATCTCCTCCTCAAGAGACTTCACATAATCTAAAACATAAAAATTCACAAAGAGATGGTCAGACAACAGAAACAATGTGGAGATAAAACATTTTGAAAGGTTTTCCTTGGTAAGGAAGAAAGCGATTTATACAAAAATAGAGAAACTAAAAAATAACAAGCAGTGAGATGTTTGTTTTCCTATTTCCAATGAATTAATCATTTCAGTTTTAGGGCTTTAAAACCAAACAGATATAAAAACACCCTATAACGCACTTGTGTATACCTTTAAGAATAATAAACTGTAGGGACGCATCAATACCGTTTTTTTGGTATCAAGTACGAGTACTGATGTTTTTTTTCGGTACTCGTCAATACCGAATACCGGAACTCCCACTAAGGAAGCAGGTGACGAGGAAGCATGGAGCTGGCTTTCTGGCCAATAAGGAAGCTGGGGGAGTGGGTAATATCTCGCCGCCAGGCTTCTATATTGACCAGCTTCCCGGCCATTTAGGAAGCTGGTCAATGGTTCTGGCCATGGGTTCCTGATTGGCTGGGAAGCTGGCTCCATGCTCTCTCGTCACCAAGTGAAGCAGGCTCCATGCTCCTTGGTGACGAGGGAGCATGGAGCTGGCCAATCAGGAAGCTGGGTCTCAGGAGTTTTGATACTGATACAGATAGTAGTATTGGTATCGGTACATCCTTAATAAAATGTATAAATATCTGAATCTGTACTGATATCCTCTTTTGTCATGCCACACCAAGAAGCATGCAGATTAGAAGAGGAAGGTCCAGTAAAAGGAACTAATCAGGCTCTACAGCCTTCGTATGTGCTGATAGGAAACATGCTGACAGGGCGAGAGAGCAAAGCAAGCAGAGTTGATGACTTATTAGCTTGTTGTTGCTTCTGAAATGTCCAATCAGTAGGCTGTAGACAGGAATGTGAGATCACTGTATTCCTGATCTAACAAAGAAAGTGGTGTCATCCTCCTGGCTGTGTTGTCTGGCAGAGGTGATGTGGCTGCCCAGGTGTACAAATCTTTAGGCAGACAAACAGTTCACATGTGCATTTTAACTTGTGTTAAGCAGTTTTACTGAAGTACTGCCCTGAAAAGCAAAAGCCGTGTTATGGCACCTAGAAATGGCTGCACTTGTATGCCAATCTTGCTTTATGCTTTTCTTTATAGGTAGGTTTGCTTTAAAAAGCTCGGCTGTTCTTGGCTCCTTTACTAAGTATCTCACCAGCAGAGGCAGAAGTCCCGTGGGTGTCACCAGATGGAGGATTTGTCCGTTCAGGAGCTGCGGGTGACATCTGCTCGCACAGCATCTCCATTTCCTTCCTCATCTGGCCAATCACTTGACGCAGTTCTGAATTTTGCTCTTGTAGAGTCTGAATTTCTCTTGATGCAAACTCTGGCATGCCTGCCTGTGTCTGTGTAAATATCAATTATCATTGCATCATTAGCTGGGGACATGTATATGGAATGACAAGCCATGGGCTTATATACAAAAACAATAGTACGGATGAATGAAGGATTCTTATCTTGAAATGGAATGAACAAATCACATCCACAATTTGCCTTCTTTTTCACAATGCATATTTTCATTTAAAGTCGCCTTGCATGGAAAGATTTTGTTATGGTTAATGATGTGACAGCTATGAGTATTCATGTGACAATTGCTGTTTGTATTAGGGATGCACCAATACCGATACTAGTATTGGTATCGGTGCCGAGTGTTTGGGCGAGTACTCGTAATCGCCCAAATGCTCCGATGCCTAGCCTCCGGTAACAGGAAGCTGGGCAGCATGCCATTACCCGCCCCCCCGGCTTCTAATTGGCCAGAAAGCCGGCTTCGTGCTCCCTCGTCACCCGATGACGAGGTAATGACGCGTTGCCCAGCCTTCTGATTGGCCAGCTTCTCAACCAATCAGGAAGCTGGGCAACTCACCATAACACGGCGCACGGCTTCCTGATTGGCCAGACAGCTGGCTCCATGCTCCCTCGTCATCAGGTGACACTGCAAATCGGGAAGCCGGGTGGCGAGTCATTGCATGCCGCTTGGCTTCCTTAATGGGATTTCCGGCATCGGTGAGTACCGGAAAAAAAATATCGGTACTCGATACGGAAAAACCGGTATCGGTGCATTCCTAGTTTGTATGGTCTCATATTATGAAACTGCATGATCAGATCCACCCCCGTGCATGGTCAGCTTTATTGCCTATGAGGTATATGTCTGCAGGGAGCATACACATCTGACAGGAGCAATTAAACACATTTCTATACAGAACAATCATGTGGTGGACTGATTTGCCAATGGTCACCTTCAGTCTATGGCTGAACATTAGGAATGCAGCACAGGACAAGCTGCAGTTAGCGAGATAAGAAGGAGCAGCATATCAGGTTGGATGAAATCTGTAGCACAAGTAACAAAGAAATAAAATGTAATACTGTTTGCCTGAAATTGATAAGACAAGGCTTCAATAAAAAAGGCCGGATAGATTAGATAAAGGAAACAGCCATATGTCTTTCAATTATGCCTATCTGATAACAGCTAGGAAATCCCAGCAATTTACAGAAACTGTATAACAAGACTTTACTGCTTGACAGCAACTGCAACACATTATCAAAGAAAATAGTATTTTTGTAATTACCCAAAAATCCTTTAGTTGGAGTCCATTGAGGGACACACAAGCCTTTCACATTTAGGTTACACTGCCGTCTACAGAAGGATTTGACAGTGGCCAACAAAAAAACTCTAGACCAGCCCAGGAAAACCCTTCCTACCACCTGCAAGCCTCAGTTTGTTGGAAGCAATTCGGAGAGGATCGGCAAAAACAAACGGGTGGGACCTGTGTTCCTTAATGAACTGCATGAAAAGGATTTTACAGTGAGTACAGCAATCCTTTATTGTGGGTAAGAGAGGAATGGGTTCAAATGCCGGTTTCCGAAGCAGAGAGAGAGAGAACCAGATTCAGATGCCATGGAGTCACATGGAAACAAACTGGGGGAGTTACATGGGAGACTTCCTGTACAAAAGTCGCAAATAAGGAATGAGGAACAAAATAGGAAGAGCAGAAACCTAACCCCTGATAGTGCGGAGGCCAAACGCTGGTCCAGACCCAGCTGCAAGGACAGGATTTGTCCTAAGAAACTCCTAGGATGGACGTCATAAAACTCCCTGAAATGATAGTATGCCTTCTGTGCTCGATCACAGATGGTGCAGGAAGTAGACTTCCTAGTGTTTAATATCATAGAAATCACTGATTTAGAGATGCCCCTGTCTCTCAGAACCTGGGCTTCAACAGCAATGGTGCTAAAGCCAGTGACAATGAAGCAGAATGGTAAATCAGTCCTTGGATCTGGTAAAGCCCAGGTGTCAGGGAACATAGCACCTACCTGCGCACGGTACCCATGACACCAGGAGCCTTACCATGTTGGAGTATCACATTCACCTGGGGCAATCCGAAGCAGTGAGGATCAGGATAATCCTGTAATCACTGTGATCAATCCTATGAAGCAAATTAGGAATATTTTTTAGGGGAGGAAAGGCAAAGGTTAGGGTGTACTGACCCATGGAGCCACCAGAGCATTCACTGCTTTTACAGATCCCTGTACCTGGAGAAAAAGCTGTTCAGTTTGTTGCTGAACCTGGAGGCCAGGACGTCCACATCTTGCGCCCCCCACCTGAGAGGCAGGCCCTGAACACCTTTGCATGTAGGGACTGCTCCCCCTGATGTAGGTGCTGTCAGCTGAGTATGACTGCCTGCCGATTATCTACATCTGGGATGTGCACAGTGGACAAAATGGGAGTGTGAAGTTTTGCCCAAGATGTTCTACCTCTTTTGCTGCAACAAGACTTCTGGTTCTTTTCTAATGGCTCATCAATGCCCCCATTGTGGCATTTTCAGACTAAATCCTGACTGGATGACCTTGCAATAGGATGGTTCAATGTTGCAGAGACAGCCAAATCACTTCAAGTTGCGGGTTGTTCACTGGAGAAAAGACTCTTTTGAACAAGTCCCTTGCATAGACAGGGTGCCTAGAACTCCTCTCTATTGCAATAGGATGGCATCCGTTGTGAGAATCATCCAAAAAGTAAGAAGGACTTCCCTGATTGCAAAAGTGGATTCCTGAACCACCAGGTCAGGCATAACCTATTCCTCAGTCTGTTCAGGGACTTGACTGATTTGTCCCATGATGACAGAATGTTGTAGAGGTCTGGAGTGAAACTGGGCAAATGGGGTTGCCTTGAAGGAAGCTACAATAAGGCCCAAGACGCTCATGCAAAAGCAGTGAGTCAGATGACTCCTGGATTGGAGAGCTGGAATCGCAGTGTTTGAAGTTTCTCCTCTGGAAAAAACACTCTTGCATGAGCGGATTCCAGGACTACTGTAGACCCAGAAACTGCAAATGATGAGTCAGTTCCAGCAACGATTTCTCAAAGTTCAGGATCCATCCAAACATTTGTAACTTCCAGACAGTCAAAGCTAGGTTGTCCAACAGAGCCTGCCCCAAATTTTCCTTCAACAGGAGGTTTGCACATAGATCCGCACCAACTCAAGCATGCCTTCCATGTCCAATGATAAACTTTAGAGGAACTATCCCTACTAGCGTCTTGGGAAACATTCATAGATGCCCCTAACTCAAAAAGAAAACCAAGGCTTTAAAGCCAGCGGTCATGAAGTAGGATGGCAAAATGGTCCTCGGGACAGGAGATGCTGATGTTTTGACACAGCCCACAGATCGTCTGCCAGGAGTCTTACCAACACAGAAAACCACATCAGCCTGGACCAGTCCAGAGCAATGAGAATCACCAAAATGCACTCGTATCTCGATCCAGCAAAACAGACCAGGAAGAAAATTCAGGGGATGAAAAGTATAGATCAGGGTATACTGATCCCACGGGAGTCACCAAAGCATCCACTGAAGACAAACCTATCCATTTTCTTGTTAAACATGGATGCCAAAAGGTCCACAGCCAGCATCCCCCACCTGCAACACAGGACCGGGAACACCTCCTGGCACAGGAACCACTTTCCCAGTTCACATGCTTGCGGCTGAGGAAGTGTGCCTACCAACTGGTGGAAAAAAACCCTGGACCAAGTATGCAGATCAGGAGAACCTGAATATCAGCTCAGGGCAGTATCTGAACCCCTGGTGCAAAGAAAGCCAAATTACCAGAAGATCCAGGGTGTTGATCAACAGACAAGACTCTGACGAGCTTCAAAGGGATCTTCAATATGAGAATGAAGGAACCTGACTGACTTGTCCCATGAGGACAGTACATAGAGAATTAGAGGTCTAGCCAAATGGAACCATAACTGCCTTAATCTGCCTTTGTATGTATTGTAGCTATGTGAACATATTAGAGTGCGGTGACTGGTTTCCTTACCTGTTCTCCTGTGTCAGTGAGAACTCTCTGTTTCCTGACGGTGGTCACAGCTTTGTCCCTTTCCCAGGTCACAGTGGATAACACAAGCTGCAGCTCATTCAGCCTTCTGTCCTTTTCTTTCACTTCAGCTTCCATCTATAATAAAAAGTATTTTGATAAAAAAGAACACTCTGTCTTGTTTCCTACCAGGCCAAATACCTCCGATTAAATGTTCCAGGTTAAGGAATTATTCCCCCCCAAACTTTCTCCCCGGAAATTTTAGAACTTTTATATATTACCCCCTTCTCATACACTTGCGCTTTACTGTTTCCTGCTAAAATCTGACTGGTTCCTATAGCTAAATTGCACATCTGGGCCTGTATGTATACAGGAACAAAATCACCACTAGGCCTCATTCACACAGCGTAAACCTGTGCACGTCCGTGTTGCGTGCACGCCCGTATCGGGCTGTTCCTGGGAGGGACAGGTGCTGCGTGTGATTGCACGCAGCAGCCTGCTCTTCCCTATGGGAGGACGCGGCCGTACTTTGTCATACAGACACCCATACGGCACATTCGTGCAGGTCCGGGTGTCTGACCTCAGAAGCAGACAGGACGTCGTTTAATTGTAAATGACAGTCATGTATGCTACAGCTCTTAGCAGGATCACGAAACGTAGTGTGTCAAAGGAAAGTGTAATTTTAAAAATAAAATACACACCATATATAAAAATTACACACATACAAAACAATATGGCCAAAAGTTTGTGAACACCTGACCATCAAACCCACTTAATGTCCAAAAGTAAGTGTGTACTGTTAATACTACGGCATACACATTTTTTTTAGATGAGTTTACAACCTTATGCAAACAGTTTGGGAAAGGACGGTTACTATTCCTGCATGACTGTGCCCCTGTGCACAAAGCCAACCCCATAAAGAAATGGTTTAATATGTTGGCATGGAGGAACTCAAGTGGACTGCACAGAACCCTTAACTCAACCCTGTTAACATGTTTGGCATTATTTGAAATGCCAATTGCCAGCTAGGTCTTCTCATCCAGGATCAATAGCTGACGTCAGAAATTCTTTTCAGACTGAATGAATGGACCCATATCCACAGACACTATCACGTACATGGCTGGAGACTGATTGGATGAGGAGGCTCCCCTTGCACCTTGTGTCCCCCAAACTCTGAGGATGGGAACAGAGCCTGAGAAACAGCAAGTAGCACGGGTGATACTGGATGGGGCAACATCGCTCCAGGCAGAAGTCCAGAATCAGGATCGGGTAGAGCAAAGCTGAGGTCACACCAGGCGGACAGCAGGGTACCAGAGCAGTAGGCACAATCGAGGTCAGACAAGCCAGGGGTCACACCAGTCGGGCAGCGAAGTACAGGGGATGAGGCAGAGGCAAGGTCCACTAACAATTCCAAGGTCAGAAGGCAGGCAGCAATTAGAAGCAGTCAGGTATCAATCCGGGTCAAGATACAGGAGCAGTAAATGTCATTTGGTCCCTTTGTGGCTGGACGTACAGTGTACGTCTCCCGTCACGAAGGGGTTAAATAGGGAGATCAATCCAGAGGTACTGCATCACATCCTGTGTGCCAGATTAGCGCGCCTGTGCGCGTACGTCCCGATGCGCACACATGTGCGCAAGTGCTGTTTTCCTATGGTACGAAAAACGGGACCACGCACATGCGCAGAACACCTGGTTGCCTTACAGACACACTCCAGAATCTTGTGGAAAGCCTTCCCAGAAGAGTGAAGGCTGCTATAGCTGCAAAGGGGGATAACTCTATATTAATAGTTATGGTTTTGAATCAGAAAGTCTAAGAAGCTGATATAGGTGTGATGGTCAGGCGTACAAAAACTTTTCCACAAATGTTTACAAAGCCCCTTCTCATTCCTTTCACAAGTGGGGAACATTAAATTCTTAGATCATAGTTATTATTGCTCCCTGTGTAGCTGGGTAGATCCCTCTCACTTTCTGTCCGATGACAGCTATCAATGTGGTCATTTCCCTTTCACTCTCTGTCCTAATAATAACTGTGACTGGAATATGAATTGAAAGCAACCGCCTCCAACGCGGACAAGGAGAGAAATATAAATGTAAAAGAAGATCAAATGCTTCCCTACAATTTTTGACTGGGTTTCCAGTTTAAGCCCAAATACCTTCAGCCCTCATTCACACGGGTAATGGCCGGCCCGTACAGATCCATACTGCATGCACGTCCGTATCGAGCAGCTCCAGGGAAGGACAGGTGCTGCGTGTGATTACACGCAGCAGCCTGTTCTTCCCTATGGGAGTATGCAGCCGTGCGCCGCCCTACGCTCACCACAAGTGCACGGAGATGCAGGTCAGGTGAGTATAGGCAGCGTACGGCCGTGTACTCCCATAGAGAAGAACAGGCTGCTGCATACAATCACATGCAGCACCTGTCCTTCCCGGGAGCTGCGCCATACGGCCACGCACGCAGCACGGATCTGTACGGGCCGGCCGTTACCTGTGTTAATGAGGGCTTAGAATCAGATCGTATTCTGTAAAGTAACCTATTGCAACCAATGAGATTCCCCCGTTACTGACACTACAGAGATGGATAAATGGATGCTGTGTTAAGCATCTTACACCTTGCACCGTTTATTAAATAAGTCTGAACATCTAAGTTTCCAGTCGTACCTGATCCTTGGCTTTGCTAAGACCTTCGATCAACTCCTCCGATTTCTGATACTGAGTTTTCTCGATACCTTCACAGCGCTTCTGCCAGTCTAACTCCACCTGCACCCTGGCCTGTTCGAAGAGACGCTCCCGCTCCACCGAACCTGACAACTGCTGTTGGTACCTGATGGTAGAAGATTTAGCTCTGTGAACTTGACATACAATAAAGGAACTGCACAGGAGCTAAACAGAAAGATGTTTTAGAAATTAAATAACACAGTTCTTCCTTTCAAGAAAAGACGCATTGAAAGAATTTCAAAAACAACATTTATAGAATTAAAAAAAAAAGTATAAATATAATTCATGTCTGTGGCATTTTCTGTAAGTACAACGCGCATAAATTCAACCTGTCTGCTGTTAATACAGGATTGAAATGGAAGAAAAAAAAAAAAGAACGGCGTCTTCTCCTCGAGTACACTTGCCACTTGCTCTGATGAAGAGGGTATATCCCTTAAAACGCGCCAGGAAGACGAATGCTCTGGTTCACAATCTGGTTGTCTGATTGTTCAGCCTAATGCTGATTTCTGTCTATCAGTCCGGAAAGGTTGTTCTGAAATCTCATGTAACAGACACCGCTTTTGAGTATGATTTTATTTAGCTTTTATTTGGATAAATGGTATTTCACAAGGAGAAGGCGCCATTCTCTTGTTTTCATCTTGAGGCTTCAACCTGTTACGGAACAGCAGCCCCCTTCGTGCCATCTTATTGCTGTCCGTCTTTAAATATTCCCTCCATATGATGTTGTGAGGACCCAACCAAGCGCTGACTGATTTGGGAAATAGGATTAAAGTGGAACTAAAAGGTATTTCTTAAAAAAAAGGCAGGTGTTTTTTTTTATGGAAGAAGAGACTCTGCATGTCTTACAGATGCCGGGACCTACAAAGCCGTGCAATAGAGAAGACTCGGACCCGGAGGAAGATGGCAGAGCTACCAGATGCAGGGCAGATATCACATGGCTGGAGGAGGGCAATGTGGGAAATTAGTATGCCAAAATGTGCAAATATGCTATGTATACCTGCACATCATGACAAGAGCTCCTGCAGGCCCATGTTCTATCTTAAAGCAGACCTGTGCTTTGCTTATGGAAATGTAAAGCCTCTTCAAACCAGCTAAATGTTTGCTTTCATTTAAAAATCTCTTGTAAAAAAATTAAAAGTTGTATACTTTAGTTCTAAGAATTCCACACTGGAACCTTTTAATGCGGGAAGATTGGTCTTTGGTGTGAAGAATCCTGACAGGTTTATTGTAAGGATGTAAGGTTTATAGGGTAGGATGACAGTGATGATAGCCCGCTTTTGAAAACTATCACAAGACGAAAGCCGCACGGGCTGGTGTGCGGAAGCGCACACTGCCCGCTCAGCATTGCAATCATCGGCAATCCCTCAGCGGGGAGGGCTTGCGATGATCACAAGTACGATCTGCCTGTCCAAGGTGGGCAGTTTGTACGGAATTTGAATCACCTTACAACCATCGCACAACCAAAGTCGTCTGATGGTTGTAAGGTGTATGGGCAGCTTTAAGGTGCCCATACACCTTACGATTATCGTACGATAATCGTATGCGTTTGACTTTTCGTACGACAATCGTAACGTGTGAATAGAGTGCCCGACCGATAGTACTGTACAATCGTACGACTTTTGACGGTCAAGCATGTTTGAAAACTTTGGTCGATCGTACGATGTTCGCATGGTTGGTGGCGTTTCCGTCCGTCAAAAGTCGTACGATTAACACTGTGTATGCGCAAATGAAAATAATTGCGGTCAATTACCGCAAGTCGTCCAGGTGTTTTTTTCAACTACCTCTGATTGAACCTTTCGATAATCGGGGCAGGATGGGGCTGTCGTACGGAAATCGTACGACGGTTCAATCATCGGACGAAAAGTTTCGTCCGATAATCGTAAGGTGTATGGGCACCTTAAGGGTTACCACCTGTCTGGACAATCCGGGTTTTGCGTCCTGTATGTTCAGCTGGCCTAAAACCCAGAAACAGCACATACAGGACTCAAAACCAGGACTGTCCAGGTGAATCCGGGACAAGTGACAACCCTACTCTGTGTACATCAGTGAGAGGTTGAAAAGGGCAACTTTCTCTGGCTAAGACGGGGTTAAGCAGTTCCCCAACAGGTACACCTCCTCTCTGTTAATTAACCTGCACCTGTTATAGTGAGAGCTCAGAGAGCCAGAGACGCAGGCTGCACTGGCTGGGTGCAGACACAGACTGGAGAGCCTTTGAATCTGTGGGATGTCTGACTGAAAACCTGTATGTTAAAGATTTGTGCGTCTGGTTTTGTAGTTGGGATAGCGGCTCCAGTAAGAAGTAGTGAGGGAACTACTGTCAGTTAGCGTCCTAGGTCGGAGTAGGCCATTTTATGCTGTGTTACTTTGAAATTGCTGCTGGAAGCTGTTTTGTTTAAAAGCAAGCAAACACCCCATTGAAGAGACTTTGAGGGGAATTTATAAAAAAATGAGCAGACAAAATCTGGAGCAGTTGCCCATGGCAACCAATCAGCTTCTCTCTTCTGTTTGTTCAGTTAAGATTTTAAAATGAAAGAGAAGCTGATCCAGATTTTGTCTGCTCCAGTTTTGATAAATTCCCCTTTTTATGTTTGCCCGTAATAACTCTGCATATACGGCCAATTGCTGACTACAGACCAGTGACTTTCCTACAATTCCTAATGCCAATAGCTAATGAAACAGTTACTTTTTGAAGGCCTGTCTATCGGCAACAATGTCTAATGTACCGCTGACAAGAACAGTTGCATTCCGTGCTGTCACAGGTAATACCCTAGGACCCCCTCTATTTTTTTTTAAAGGAAACCTGTGTATTGCCAGCAATATGAGGGCTGCCATTGCTAACCTCCTCCTAGTAATAATAGTTGCCTGACCTGGAACAGGCATACAGATCTGAAAGTCAGAACTCCAGATCTGCATACTCGGTCCAGGTCAGTTCCCCAAAGTCCTGGAATGAATTAGCGTGTCAGACAAATGAGCATTTTCAGAAAGCAAAGTCAACCTCCCCATTATTTAAAGCCCACAGGTTTCCTTTAACGCCGGGTGTTTTAGATGCTGTGATGAACCGCTTTCATTATAATATTAAGAACTGTGTGGAAATAATTTTTTACAATGCCACACTCACTACTTCACTATTCTCCAGCACTTGCACTGCATTATATAAAACAATAAGAGGGCTTTTAGTTAAAGTTGCATTCCGTATACGAGTGACTTCTTCCCAGTGCAACAGGTAAACTTCTATAAGCAATCCCTCTGCACTCACCTCTCTATGTCCTTCTGGAGTTTGGCTATCTGAACGTTCAGCTTCTCCTCCTTCTCTTGCAGAGACTGAATGCAAAGATCTTTATTTACAGTGTCATGAGACACTTGGGTGATGTATGAATCCCAGCCAGTCTTCAACGTTTTCACGTCATTCTGGAGCCTTTAAAAGTGAAAATAAATTGTTTTACGTTTTAGTTTTATTTGACACGAACTTACAGACTATAATATCCTGCTTGGCCAGCTGGTGGCAGTGTTACGCAGTATCCATTGTGCTTTCATGTAGATATAGCAGTGGCCTCTGCTGAGCAGATTTGTCCAAAGGGTTCCTTACTTTCACCAGCAACATGTCCAGAGATTTATTATACTTGTATATGTAAGATCGCTGTTCCTTAGATCTGTGCAGAGGATGGCAGAATCAGCCTCTGTGTACATTTTAAATGTTGGCACTCCCAATACAGCCAAGTGTCATCTCTCTAATGATGGCGCATCTCTGCTCACATTACTGGTGACGACTTGAAAATGCTTCAGCACACAGATATTCAGGAACAAAGCATAGCAGACAGCAGAGGACATTTATTGAGGGACCTTGATAGTGTTGTACATTTGCATTATGCTGGGCAGCGAATTAGGTGTTGTTGCACAATGTACCCCAATATATAGTTTTGATATGGAGTTCTTAATCTAATAGCATTAAAATAGAAACTAGGGATGCACCGATACTGTTTTTTCGGTATTGACTACAGATATATATATATAAAAGATACTTGCAGATACCGAATACCGACACCGAAAGTCCCATTAAGGAAGCTGGGCGGTGTGTAATAACTCACCACCCAGCTTCCCGATTAGCAAGGAAGCCGTCTCCATGCTCCCTCGTCACCAGGAGATGAGGAAGCATGGAGCCCGCTTTATGGCCAATCAGGATGTTGGGGGGGTGGGTCATGACCTGCCGCCTCCCTTCCTGATTGGCCAGCTTCCCGACCAATCAGGAAGCTGGGCGTCGAGTCCTTGCACGGCGCCTGGCTTCCTGATTGACCAGGAAGCCAGCTCCATGCTACCTCATCACCATGGGACGAGTGAGCATGGCGCTGCCTTTCTGGCCAATCAGCAAGCCGGGGGCAGGGTAATGACTCACCACCTGGCTTCCTGATTGGTCGGGAAGCTGGCCAATCAGGAAGCTGGGCGGCGACTCATTAAACGTGAAGAGGGAGCATGGAGCTGGTTTCCCAGCCAATCAGGAAACCGGGAGACTATTCATTACCCGCCCCCAAAGCTTCCCGATTGGCCAGAAAGCCAGCTCCATGCTCAATGGTAACTAGGGAGCATGGAGCTAGCTTCCCGGCCAATCGGGAAGCCGGGCAGCATGTCATGACTTGCCGCCCAGCTTCCTGATGCCGAAAATTCTGGTATCGGGATAGGCATCTGGAGCATTTGGACGAGTACTCACCCAAATACTCGGTATTGGCACAGATACTAGTATCGGTGCATCCCTAATTCAAACACTGACCTTAAAGCCACTCTGTCACTAGAATACAAGTTTAAAAGCAAGCCTCCCTTTAAAAGTAGGAGGTACAATAAGCAGCAATCCAGCAGGTGGTGACTCCAATCTTCTACTACATTACTTCTAAAGGTGGCCATACACTGTACAACCATCGCAAGACCTTAGACCTTAGGTTGTAAAGTGATTAAAAAAAACGTACGATCTGCCCATCTTGGACAGACAGATCGCACTCTCGATCATCACAAGCCCGCCCCCCTGAAGGGCGGGCTTTCGATGACCGCAATGCTGAACGGGGAGTGTGCACGTGCGCACACCGGCCCGTTCGGCATTTGTCTCCCGAGCACCGTTCTAACCAGCCGAAAATCGTACGATTCTCGGCTGGTTTTCTAACATGCTCCTTAGACAAAAGAGGTGCGACCGTACAGTAGAAACGGTCGCACGTCTTCGTTCACACTGTTCGATTCTCGTACGATCGTGGGATTTCCCGCGATTCTCGTACGAGAATAGAGCAGTGTATGGGCACCTTAGAGCCCACTTTCTGAGTGTCGGATGCCTGCGTCCCCTGCTTGGCCAGTGAGTGAGACCACTGCAAGTCAGACTTAACATATGACACTTCAGAAATTCCTCTTGTGATGAATATTCTTTGGCCACAGTAGCTCACATAGATAGTAGATCGGCCACCAAACTAGCAAGTGCTGACAGAGTCAGTTTAAAAGGAATGTGTTATCATTCGCACAATTGTTACATCACATTACTGATTAAGGAAATGAGAAATGTTTTGCTGAAATACTGTATAATGAGGGCTTTCTGGCATTAAAAGAAGAATAACCATGTTTTTCTTCGGAGACCTTTAAAAGAACATTAACTCATCAGAAAGATATTCTATTTTAAAAGAGAGGGTCCAACAAAAGAAAAACATTTTTAGAGAGAACCAGCCACGGCCTTCCTGACTTGTAAAGTACATGGCGCTGGGCACTCTGGGGTGTCTGATCTTCTACCCCGTGAGAGGAAGTGTGAAGCCCCTTCCATATATTCAAATGCAAATGTGTCTGACTTCAGAAGAGCTTACCTCATGTTGCTCCTGAAGTGGTCATGTCAATAGGAGTGAGGCTAAATCACGTTCCTTAGCTTTGAAATCAGCATGCGGCCAGCTCTCCCAGAATTCATGTTACACCCAACAGAAATTTTTAACATGATATTTGACTTTCTTCATGTTCCAAATCCTAGCATTCCCGTTAACTCCCTAGCACTCCCTCAAACATCCTTTGCATCCTTTGGACTTCAGGCCCCCCTGCCCTCTACGTGACAGGGCTTAGTGTTGTCCAGACAGCCACTGACCAGTGCATTGTGGGCAGTTAGGGCTCAGTCACACTAGATGCAGTGCGTTCCGGCCCGATTTTGGCCCTGTGCGATGCGATCAAAATAGTGCTTTTAGCATTTTGATCGCACCGCACAGGTTCGGACCGCAGGCACAATGTGCCTTGCGATCCCGTGCGACGGATCGCATTGCGGCCGGAAGGCATGGCTACGGCGCCATCCACTTGAATGGCCCATCCCGCCCCTTCCTACCCCACTAAAAAGTGAGCCCGCCGCAATGCGAGGCAGTGCGTTCCGGCCAAAATCGGGCCGGAACGCACTGCATCTAGTGTGACTGAGCCCTTATTGGGAGGGTTCTGGGGCTACCGCAGCAGATGGAGGCAGAAAGCTGGCCAGAAGGGCCCAATCACACCACCTACTTGCGGGAATGCGTGGCAACATCTCACGTATGCTGGTGCAATACCATTAATTCTGGTTGGCACCCCAACACACATTTACACCGGATGGGTGTTGCAACACGCAGCAACGAAACAATATTGTGTTGCCGCAAATGGTTACCCCAAATAGATGGTGGGAACAGGTCCTTGAAGCGAATGTCACTTTACAAACAAAACAAAATAAATACAATGCTTGGCTCGTTCAATAGAAAGCACTAAAAACATATCCCCTCAGTGGGCAGGGTGTTCGAACTCCAACGTTGTCAAAGTCTTCAAGATTGGACGTTTCAGGGAGTATTAAATGCCTTAGTGCCAGGAGTGTGGAATGGCCCTGCTGAGCTCAGTGACAGACCTAACTGTCACTGCCAAACTACTGTGCTGTCCTACCCCACCCTACATTAATGTAAGGTAGTATTTAGATAAACTCTCTCCAAGTATTATATACTCCTTGCAAGTCGGATATGAAATTTCAGCTGGTGTGCAGACAATTACTCACTTTGCGATGGTGCTGTCCTTCTCTGCCAGTTCCGCCTGCTGATTGCACTGTGTCCTTTCCTGCTCCATCTGCAGAGTCTCCACACACATCTGTACTTCCTTCTTTTGTTTCTCCAGCTCTTGGACCTGCTCATTGTGAGATTCCTTCATCAATTTCAGTGCTGACTCTTTCTCGCGTGCACAGCGGTCTAGTTGTTCGTGTCTATAAATGGACAACAAAAAACATTTTCTTAGACCTGCAGCTGACCACTAATTACCCAAAGTAACATATTTCTGAGAGCTTTTCTGCAAATTAACATTACAAAATGCAATATAAGGTAATTTAGCTCCATTATCCAAGCACCACACTTTGAGTGCGACTGTTGTGGTTCTGTCAACTTCCTGTTAGGGAACCAAGAGACAACGACAGAAACTAACGTGCAGGTTAAAATAAAAAGGAGTTTAATGAAAATAACAATTTTAAAAAAATGGCAAAAACAATGAAGGAAGATCAGGACGTTGTTGCCGCCAAGCCAGGGGTCAGATGCCACAGTGGGTAGTCAACCGAACTAGGTCAGGGAACTCTGAGAGCAGAATGAACTGAAACAATAGCTGGAGTCGGGAACCAGGAGATCAGACACCCAGAGCCAGGGTCATACACAAAGAACAGTAACAACAGTAGCACACTTGGTAGGTCTGAACAAGTGCAAGGGCGAAGACTAAAATGGACAAGCTGATGGTTAAATAGTGAACTGATGTTGCATCAACACTATTAGATTGGAATTTGCCAACAGTTGAGTCAATAGTTGCAGAATGATGATGTTTATGGGTTTGGTCATAAGAGGGTGCCAAAGAGGAACAAAGTGTCAGACACAAGACAGGCTGTAATCAACTGGACAAGTAAGGGTAAGAAACCCTGACCTAACACATCTCCAAGCTCCTGTGTACACAAAACTGTATAAAGCAGGACCCTATGATTGTTTACATTCATCTCAAGGTGAACCTGTCAGAAATGTGGACAAGTGAAACTAATCTTATAATGGAAAAAATGCATCAGCAGAGGTCAACTTCAGCAAAAATCACAGTCGATCCTGAGATAAGGGCAGCTAAAATTACAAGCTAATCTTGACTTTCCTGTAGGAGTTGAGCTGCGCCCTGCCCTCGCCTACCTTCCAAATCTCTCTATCAGTCTTTTAATATGATGGGTGGCCTCATCAACCAATAGGAAGACTCAGGAGGCATAAAGGGGCAGAGCAAACCTATATTTGCATATCACTTCAACTGCCAATAGCTATGGATCTGTTACGTTTATGAGAGTTATCACGGTTTGGGATCACAACTGCGGAGGGGTATTTGTCCAAAAAGGCTACTCGGATATGAATCTCAGGCGTCAATCACAATTTTAACGGCGAGTTTGAGATTCAAGCATCACAGCCAAAGCATAATGTTTCAGTAGGGACAGGCTATTTGACTCATAATAAGTATACTGACACAAGGTACAACTTAGCTGAGAAATAATAGTAAACGATGATCGTATTGGTATGAGCCGGATGAGACAAAGTATAAACCAGACAGTCTATGCATCAACCAGGAACTGTATTGCTGAGAGAAGAGCTCCAATAGAAGCAGTACTTGCGGTATGTGAACTGAAGTCTGGAAAGATCGGTTGCCGAGCTGAGGGCTTCCACAGGGTGCAGTAAGGTGGCAGCAGGTTCTGGAAAGGTCCTGACAGCAACAACGAGGTTAGTAGGTTCAGGAGGCAGCAGGCGTTCGGAACGCCATGTTGCCTCGTTTGTGCTCTTAAATAGTGCCTGGGAGTGGGGAGGAGCCGCTGATCGGCCCGAACCACTTCCGCGTTCCATCGTGGAACGCAGCCGCCGCGTCACGAGTAGGAATTCGCGCGGCATCCGCGTTCCACAGGGGGACAGCTGCCGATGCAGGAGAGAGCGGCCCGGTGGCATTAAAGGATATCATGGTCGTTTGACATGCAGTTTAGACTTTGTTTCAGGTTTAAGAAATGGATCTAGATTTAGATACTGTTATGTATACAAAAAGCCTAAAACCATCTATTGCACCCAAATCTAAAGACTGTTAAAGGTGAATGTGTGTATATATATTCATTTTTATATATATATACAAACACCTCCCTCTCTTCTCTATAACATCAGTGGAAGGTGTTTTGTAGTCCTGAGAGAAAGCTGGGAAGTGGGAACAGTAAAACTGATGAGTGCATCCGAGGAAGACAGCGCAGGAAGTGTAAGCTTATTAGAGCAATAAGTATTTTTTGCACTTAACAAACATAAAAGAAAAGCTTTCAATAGTATATTTAAAAGATGGAAAGAAAGCATATAAGGTCATTGATGGGGTTTACATACACTCTTCTGTCACAATAAAAAGAAATGGGGGCCCAGCTGTCCAATTTATACGATAACAGCTATTACTACAGAAAATTTGTATCAAAACTCAATGGCTGTGTGCCAATATTCCGGTGCCTGCCAATTTTTACCATTAATCACGATTAATCATTATGCCCTCCTCCACCATCTCAGGAACATAGTTACACATCCTACTTGTCCCACACCATCCGCTATTAGCTGTGACAGTCCAATTTAAACAGTACCCATTTCATCACCAAGAAAAATAGGATTTTTGTATTCGCTGTAAAATCCTTTTCTTGGAGTCCACTGAGGGACACAGAAGACCCTTACCTTTAGGTTATTCTGCTGCTGCCTATTGGAGAATTGGACATTGGCAAGCAGAAAAACTGTAGGCCAGCCCAGAATAACCCATCCTACTACCAGCATGCATCAGTTCTGTAGCAAAGCAGTACAAACACTAACAGGTCAAAAAACAATAGAGAACTGGGCACTGCCTCAATCTCATAGAGCCGTCTGAAGGACCTTATGCCGGAAGCTAGCATAAGATATGGCTGCAAAATCCACCTGGTAAACATTGGAGCACGTGTGAACAGGAGGCCCGGTGGCAGCCGTGAGAATCTGGGAAACTGTTTCTTGATGTCAAAAGGCACTCACGGATCCAGCAGTGTGCGTCTTGGCAGTAAAAGGGTGGCACCGGATCCAAAAGACCATAAGCTTGGGTGATGGTCTGCTTGAGCCACCTAGAGATTGTGGAATGAGAAGCCGAACAGCCTTGCAGGATGGGATGCATCCGGAATTACAAGAAAGGGAATCAGTCTTCCTAAAGGAAGTAGTGGCTGGGAGTTGAGTCTCTCACAGCCTGGATTTCATTCTGACGGTAGAGGGAAATTTCCGTTTTCGTCCAGAAGACCCCAAAGGAGCTCTGCTATTCTGTGAGGTCACACAGGAATGTTGGAGATGCGAAACAGAAGAGGGCAGGGAACGAAAAACACAGGAGAAATGTGCTTTCTCCTGAATGGGGAAAGCACATTTTGAAGGGAACAGGTGCTTTCTCCATTCAGGGTAAAGCAACGGGTTCATTTGAAAGCATATGTATAGCTAAACTGTCAGTTTACCTTTTTGCTGTCTTCTTGGGGAGATTTTCCTTCACTTTTTGTCCAAAAGATGCAACCGGAAATGAGAGGAGGAAAGATTCTCTACAGACTAAAGCAGTGGTTCTCAACCTATATAACCTCAGGAACCACATTTGTCCTTGGTCCTAAGTTGTGACCCAACTTAGGACCCAACTGTGTCACACTGCAATGGAAGACACAGCATTGCGGTACCGCGTGTTCCAGTGCGGGCAATCGAACTGTGGGTGGGAGGTGCGTTTGGGGTGCCCATCAAATGAATGCAACACACCTCCCGCACCAGAATGCACAGTAGGGGCAATTGCACGGTACAGAGTGTTAATCGCCCAGGACTGCGCGATTAACGCACTGTACTTGCGTGGACAATGACAGTCCCGCACAACCACAGACACAATCTCACAGACATTTTCCTCCCAAAAATGTTATATTTGTTTAAGATCCACCCAGTCTCCCTATCTTACGAGAAATGGAGAGGGATCCTCAGCCTGGGGTCCAGTGTGGGATGATGAGCTGTGATGGAGCTCCATCCATATGTGCATTGCTTGTATAGCTCCCTTGCGTGCCCTGTAGACGTGCCGGGAGCCAGAATATGACATCAGTCCAGGCACCTCTACAGGACACGTGAGGGAGCTGTAAGCAATGCACATATGGATGGAGCTCCCTTGCGGCCATAGCCCCAGCCCACCCCACCTCAAGCTGACACTCGGCGCCGGGCAGCATATTTTGAATGGCTGCTTGGTGTGAGAACTGACAGCGCGGCAGAGGAGCCTCTTTCCTTGAAAAGTGGAAGGCATGCGGTGACCCACTGAATACAGGGTCGCGACCCACTTTTGGGGGGACACGACCCACCAGTTGAGAACCAAGGGACTAAAGGGAGTTCTACCCACCCCTTTACACAACTGTCACCAGAACATTTGTCCCCATTGGGAAGACTTACCCTTAACTCTTGTTTAGGTGGCAACTCTAAAATTTAGCATTTCCCCTCACTTTCTATCTCAGTGGCAATGGTCAGTAGAGCAATTAGGGAAGGTGAATTTCCCCAGGGGAGGCACAGACAGCAATTCAAATTTGACACAGGTTATAATCCATCCACACTGCATCCAATAAAAAAAGGTTTTGGCTATACATACACTTCAAAGCATAACTCCCCTCCTACATATACTCATCATTCTTTCACACACCCCATAGCTCCATTCACTGCCAGGAGCCAAAATAATTATCAAGTGCTTCCTAGTATACTAAATCATGTGACTCACTTCCCTTCCTCCCATGTGACAGCGCCTTAGGCACCAGAGCTGTCACACGGGGTGGGGAGAGTCCTTAGTCTTGTATAAGTTATTAGTCACCTGAAGGACCAAAGTTTAAAATGACAAATCTAGTTATATATATTGTGGGTTCCAGTAATGTATGACATGAACTTACTTTTGTTGAAAAGTCCTCTCTTGTCTTTTCAGCTGATTCTGCAGTGTCTGCACTTTAGCATCCAGCTCGTTTATCCTACGACATAAGATACAATCCAAATTAGTTCTCACCACTGTGTGTAATATCTCTTCGGGGATGTACAATGGGATCACAGCTGCGGAGACGTGTTGAAGGTCACAAGTCACAAGGGGAAGTTTCTATGGATGGCGGTTATTCAGTATTTAATTCCTTGTTGCACACTCCCTATGAAAACGAGGAGGGTTTAGGAATTGTATTACATAATTTTACCGCAAAATCAAGAAGGAGTAGCACATGTGAGGTTCCACGGGGTATTAACTCATACACACGACTGGAACATGCGCAGCAATCACACAGAAATACCTCAAGTGCCTAAATATCTCAAGCAATGCAGCGACAGTGATGAGATAGATTGGGATATGTAGTTCATCTAGTGTAATTACTAGCGCCATTGGATACAGTCCTGTTACTAGTTATTTGGGGATGCATGGACCCCTGAATACATGTCACCTGATGCAGCTACAAATGGGTAGTAGTTATAGGATTTGTAAGGTAACACAAAAGGTAACAGTTCATCAGTGTGACATTTGCCCAGGAACAGTTCTGTATAGTCAGAATGCTACTTGCGGTCGTGGAGGGTGCCGTCCAGGTACAGCGCCACGACCCAGGCTGTTTGATCCTTGCTGGAGAGACTTAGAGAAGGAAGGCAGCGGCAGCAGGATGGCAGAGGCAGGAGGATGAGGGGCAGCAGGATGGCCGTAGCTGGAGGATGAGGGGCATCAGGATGGCCGTAGCTGGAGGATGAGGGGTAGCAGGCTGGCCCTAGCTGGAGGATGAGGGGTAGCAGGCTGGCTCTAGCTGGAGGATGAGGGGTAGCAGGCTGGCTCTAGCTGGAGGATGAGGGGTAGCAGGCTGGCCGTAGCTGGAGGATGAGAGGCAGCAGGCTGGCCCTAGCTAGAGGATGAGGGGTAGCAGGATGGCAGCTGCAGCAGGAGCCGGTGGACGGACGTGTAACAGCGGTCATCGCTGTGAGAAGGAGACAAGCACAAGTTAGTGGAACGCTGAGCAGTCACCCACGGCGCGGTTAAATGAAACTCTAGCGTGCGGGGGGAGGAGTCGCACGAAGCGCCGTACGTGAGCGGCTGCGGGGTGCGTCCCTGGAGTCTGTCACACTATGGTCTATAAAAGGGTGGGAGTACAGGAAACGGCTCCATTTATTCAACAAAAAAACGGAGAATCTATCCGAAGATAAGCAGTTAGTGTCACAGCTGTCAGTGAAAAAAGCCAACAATGTACAGAATGATAGAATGGTTGCCATGGGTTACATCTTGTTGTTTTGGGCGGGGGTGGATTGGTGTGGGGTTTTTTTTAGCGTAGGTGTATTGCTTACATAAATGTGCCACAAAAAGATCAGTATATGAAAGGTCCATAGTCTCCGTGCCAGCTTAAGAGGTTCAGGGAGCAACAACTGAGGCCCCTGATGTCACACATAATACTCTGACTATGTAACGCTACAGAAGATTACCAGAAACTGCAGACTAACTAGTGGAGATGGTCAGAGACTGAGGACGTGCTACAGGTGTAGTTGGAGACACGCCAAAGGGAAAATATCAGAGCCTAGGGACATGCTGCATGAGACTGAGATTAGTGCTATTACAGCCCCTTCGCAACTCCATGCTCCCATTTCCCACTATTAGCTGTTGATGTCCAAGGACTGCACAGCAAGCCCTAAAGGTCAACAGCGCGGAGATCCTCTGTACTGCAGACTACGTTTCTTGCAATGAACAATACTGTCGCTTATATCCCGGTGCAGGAAATGCCTGCTTCACTACTTGTAAGCTCTACAAAGTAGAACATATAACCCTGTCACAGCATGGAGTAGCTCCAAATCCTTTAACTAGCACTGGGCACGTTTGACATATAAGCAGGCCGATAGGACTCGCTTTGAGCTGCTTGAGCAAGTCCTTAGTGCTGTGTGACGCTGCAGATTTCTCCTACAATTGAAATTTAAAAAAGTGTTTGTCTTAGATTGTAAGCTCTCAGGGGCAGGGCCCTCCTTACCATCTTGTCTTGAATTGTAATGTCTTCTATATATTGTAAAGCGCTGCGTAAACTGTTGGCGCTATATAAATCCTTATTATAATAATAATAACAATACTTGTGTTCTATTTAAATTGGAGTGCTTATCTGCTTACTGTGTTAGGAACATTGACTTGTATGATCCTCTGGGACTGGGACAAAGCTGCGTATAATGCTTGTGCTATGTTAATGCGGGAAATAAAGGATTAGGCTGGAGTACTTTTTTTGGCTACTCCTTAGAGATCAGTACATGGGCACCGCTTCCTGCAGTACATACCGCGCCTCTTTAACTGCCAATAAGTCCTTCAATTCAAAGTCTTTTTGTCTCAGGAGCTCCTGCATTCTCTCATTGGCCGATTCCGCTTTCTGGAGACACTCCGCGCCTTTCAGTGCCATTTCCCTCATAACTTCCAATTCGTTAGTCAGCAACTTCACCTTATAACACAAGCCAGAGACAAGGCCGCAGGTTAGTCTAAAGAAGCATTAGAGTAGAATTGCAAACTTTCTTTTCAATAATGAATCCAGATCAAACAAATATACATTGCATTGCCCAGCCAAGTATTTCTTTACATCCAGGGTGGCCAAACTGAGGCCCTCCAGCTGTGATGAAACTACAAGTCCCATTAGGCCTTGCAAGTCTCTGACAGCCACAGGCATGGCCTACTAGGGCAGATGCATGGGCAGGGCCCTCCTTACCATCCTGTCTTGAATTGTATTGTAATGTCTTCCTTACATTGTAAAGCGCTGCGCAAACTGTTGGCGCTATATAAATACTATGTAATAATAATAATATTTGGAGTTTCCCCACATCTGGAGGGCCGCAGTTTGGCTACCCCTGCTTTACATGATTGCCCAAACACTTACCGTCATCATATTTACAAACAGCTGGCTCCAACTCTCTCAGCTTACCTGAACTTCCTGTTCAGTAGAAGATCACAAGGGACAGCACAATCTCCAGCAGTCGTCCACCTACTAGCTTGGAGAAGGGAGGAGAGGGGAACAGGGGAGTGGCTTGCCTTGCTGTGTCTTTGTGGAGTCACACACAGCTTACTAGCAAAGGTGGCTCAATAGGACACTGCAAGGGAAAGGCGCCACCCTAAAACAGGATATCAGGACCAGTGCTCAGGGGACCAGCTAATTCTGCAGGGAGCTAGAACATTTAAACATCAAGAAGCAGCATCCATTGTTAGGCCCCATTCACATGTAGCGACTTACCTTTGCAGCGGCCGGGATAGCGCGACTTTCGGGGCGACGTTCCAGCGACGATCCAGCGACGGTAGCACAACCTTCTCCGTCGGGCTCCATAGAAAAAAGCAAAATCCGCCGAAAAAAGGGTCCTGTAGAAGCGACTTGCGACCGCGACGAGCGACATGGAGCTAAGACACCTCCATTGACTATAATTAGCCGGCGACTTCTCGCGATATCGCGGCGGAAATCGCGCGATAAGTCGCTACATGTGCATGGGGCTTAAGTGGTTTCCTCAGCTTTTAACTTTAATATCATTGTAGGTGCAGGAAGAGCACCACAGACAGCAACTGCCTGTCGCAGAAAAGAATTGTGTACATATACAGTAGGCCTAGCATTTCACATAGTGTGATTATATATTATTGAACCCAGGCTAGTTCTTTTACCAAGCCTGGACCATTATTATCATTCCAGACCAGCAGAAGATGTATGTGGTAAAAAGCTGCGTTTTACTTCCTGTCATAGTGACACCTTATGAAACTTTGACACACAAGGGGGCACTAGCACTCCTAAATGGCACTGATGAGTATAGGAAATTGCTATAATCGTCAATACCATCTAGGGGCGCTAGTGCCTTGCGAGTGGCATAAAGCAGGGCAGAACATTTATAAATAAACCCAAGGTGTTATCGGGACAGGAAGTAAAGGTAAATTGTCCCAGGGGTCAGCAATACCAATATGGAGGCCAGAAAGAGGCCAGCACACTGAAAATCGAATTTGAGAATTTACTGGGGTCACATGCCACAAAAAAAATTTCAACAAAGCTTGGCGGACACGCAGGTCCCCTCTCTCAAGATGACAGACATGAAATTGTCAGGTGGTTTACGACTGTCACCTTGAGAATGGGAACCTGCATGTCGTTGAAACGTTGGTGGAAATTTCGGTCTATCTGTACCCCAGCAAATTCATATTTGGTTTTTGGAGTGCTGGTCTTTTTCTGTTTTTTAAGTTGGCCGCAGTAGCACCGTAGGCTACACTCTCACCAGACTGGCGCAAGAGGTATGATCTCAGGCTTGTGCATACAAGGAATAAAAACCTGACACATGCCTTACTTCATTACCACTTATCTAAGGAAGCTTTTTTTATCTTTTTAAATGACTGTTTGTGTCTCACTTGGAAGAGATTTTACGTCACTTTCTGTCCTTGTGAAGGGTGTTACTCTGGTGCCGGACTGTTAAACTGGCTATACACTATGCGAATTTCGGCCAGTTCTTGATGGGTGCACCCTTTCGGCCGTCATCCAGCTGATCGAATGATTTGGTTGGAAAATCTTTGACTGAATAGAGCTGGCAGCCAATGAGCGGACAGCTCTGTTCAGGTACTCTAAGGCTGGCCATACGCCTTGCGATCATCGGACGACACTTTTCGTCCGATGATCCAACCCTCGTACGATTTTCGTACGGCGGCCCCATCCTGCCCCGATTATCGCAAGGTTGGATCAGCGGTAATTAAAAGAACCCACCTGGACGAATTGCGGTAATCGACGGCATATATTTTTGCCTGCGCATGTGCAGTGTAGATCGTACAACTTTTGACGTACGGAAACGCCCCCAACCTTACGAAAATCGTACAATTGACCGAAGTTTTCTAACCGGTTGGTTAGTCAAAAGTCGATCGATAGTACAGTATTTGCGGTTGTACACTGCCCATCAACCTTACGAATATCGGACGAAAACGCGGTCGCATACGAAAATCGGCCGATATTCGTAAGGTGTATGGGCACCTTTAACAGTGGCTGGCGGCCTCCATCAGAATACAGTGAGAGATTCCTCGCTCAACATTAGTAAGCGTTGATGGAGGAATCTGAAATATTTTCTTTGTTCGGCCCGCAGGTTAAAGGAGAAGTATGAGGTGAGTGCTTTTCACTCGTCTCATAGTTCTAGCCGACCTGTGACAATGAGACTGTCACAGGTCGGTTCAGTAGATTGGGAAGTGAGCGAACACATACCGGCGTTCGCTTACCTCTCGATCCTGTCACTGCTCTCTGCCGTGACAGGGGAGGGGCTGGATTCCCCACTCCCTGCTCCGATCCGCCAGCGCTGACTGGCGGAACGGACGGGGGGGCGGTTACAGCTGGCTCTGCCTCCAGATAGGCAGAGCCAGCTGTCACTCACGCAGCTGGGCGGATCTCGACATCGATGTCGGGATCCGCTCCGGCATCTCAGTATACCAAGAAAATATTACAGTGTATGGGCAGCCTTATGCTATGAGGTTTTTTGGGGGTTTTTTTTTCTACAACACCTGCATCCAATCAGATTGTTCAGGTATTTTGAGAGCCAGCGGGGCCTGGTAGCAAGATACTGAAGCTTGGCCCAGTGGGTGATTCCTCCATCCACACAGTTTAGCGTAGATGGAGGAATCTGTTGCACCTTTTCCATCTGACCATAGAAAATCTGCAGATAATTGTAAGGTGTATGGCCAGCTTTACACAGACAACAATAAAAAAAAAAAAGATGACATGGGTCTAAACCCTAACATAAGGGCTGCATACCTTGAGCTCATTAGACAGAACCAAAGTGTTCATCTCATCAATACATACACGATGTGCATGTTCACGTTTCTTCATTTCGCAATCAAACTCCAGAGACAGTTCCTGCAAATAATGATTGCATTGTGAAAACATAATACTGCTATAATACACATGTACAATGTTCACCCAGAACTCCCAGGTAGACAGAAACAGTGTCAGGAATTATGTCAGGGAGATCCCACTGTTATATAAGAAGCCAGGGGCTGATTCATCCCAATTCTCCTCACTTATAACCAAAATATCACTTTTGGGTGGGCCGACCCTTTAACATACAGTAGGGGGAATTTATCAACACGAGAGCAAGCAAAATTTGTAGCAGTTGCCCATCGTAACCAATCAGCTTCTCTCTCCATTTTGTTAAGATAAGATTTGAAAATGAAAGAGAGATGCTGATTGGTTGCAGTGCACCTTTGCTCCAGATTTTGTCTGCTCCACTGGATAAATTCCCCTCAGAATGTGTAAGGTTAGGTTCACACCTGGACTACACCACACGACACCCGGGACGCGCAATTGTGTGCTAGTGCATACAGCAATTGCCGTGCGGCCCCACTGATTTCAAAGGGGTGACATCCGCGCGGCAACCGCTAAAAAAAAGGTACAAGTGCCTTTTTTGGCGACACACGACGCGCAGCTTTTTTAGAAAATAATGGCACCCACCGTGCGATCGGTTCACATCTTGGTGACCCCTGATTGTTCGGCAATCGTGCACAAAAGTCCCATGCATTGCCGCGCAGTCAGGAGTCGCCTAGGTGTGAACCTAGCCTGAATGTATGAGCAGCGCTGGCTGAGGGCTAAGAAAACCTCTTACCTTTCTAGACATCTGCTTTACAAGTTAACACTGCTGGCTCTGTATGAGTGTATTATGTGTTGGACACAGTGATCAGTGACCTTACCTCGGTGTGGGTATTGGATTGCAATGAAACCAGTTCTGTACACCAGGAATTATTGTGAGGCTGCCAGAGCGAGACTTGGATCATCCAGCACCCAGGAGAGGGAAAAAGGAGTTTCTGCTTGTTAAAGTATATGCAAACCAATTTACTAAAGTCTCAGTCTCCTGATGTAATGTCCAAAGTGAATAGCCCATTAAAAGATCACATAACAAAGCCAGTGTTTGCTGCAATATTGAACTTTAATCACCCTGCAGTACTTCCGTCTGCCACTAGTCCTCAGTCTGGTAAGCAGCATCATTCAACCCACTTCCTCTGAGCCTTGGTCATCTTAGACCCACCCACAGCAAGGGATTGGACAGTAAAAGAAGAAGCAGGGTAGTAATGACTTATTAGCATATTTCTTGTCGTCACATGAACTGGCTAGTGCCTTGTGCGGCTTCCTCCTCTCAAACTCCAGCCCTGCTGTACAGGGACTGCAAGGGGCTGATACCAGGACAAATTTAGTTACTTACAATGCTAGTATTAAAAATTAAATGTAATGATATAATAATGAACACAGGGCTGTATTATTGTGTCCTTTATATCTGCCTGGAGTTCAGCTTTAAATTTTGCGACATTCAGTAAAATAATACCTAGTAATCCTGCCATGTAGGTCACATCCTGTTACAGGATGACAACACATTGACCTCTATCCCAGTTGTTCTTCTGCATTGTCACCCTGTCGCACACTCTCCCAATGGAGACTATAAGCAACTGCACTGATGCACACTGCGCAAGCATGTGACAACCTGTTAAGTGCCCCCCCTACCGACATTCTAATACTCACCTTCCTAGTGTTCCCCGCAGCTCCTTCCTGCATTATGGGCACCACTAAAAGCCCCAGTGTTGGCTATTGTTAAATAAAGGGACGTCACTCCTCCTAGGTCAAGTGCTTGGGTTTAACAACTGGCTGCTGAACCCAAGCACTGTCACATTGGAGAAGGTCACATGCTCCCACCCCAATCCCGGAAGCAGCGGGCATTTTCACCAGCAGGAGTGCCGGAAAGGTGAGTACAGTGGGTCCGGCGGAATCCTTTGCACAGATCCTGTAACTTTACCCTGAATGGGAAAAGTGTCTGTGTCTCTTTAAAGCGGACCTCTACCCCCTTTCACTAAAAATCACATCAGCATGCAGCTTTGCATGCTAATATAAAATCATCCTTCATTCTTTAGCTAAACACACATATTTTTCTTTTACTTACAATTATTCTGTTTCCACTTCCTGGTCCTCTTTTGTACAAATGATGTAATCGTGCCCAAGCGTTGCATCCTGGTAAGGTTACATCAGCAGAACATTGCTGGGAAATCTTATCTGTAATCTCACGAGATCTCAGGGAAAGGCATTTTCCTCCCCTGAGATGATGTGCATGTTCACATGATCTAGTCACATGTGCCAGAGTTCCAGGAAGTAATAGGAGAGCTAGTAACCTGCCCTTAGTTATGGTCACAATTAGAAGACTGGGGAGGAAAAGAAAAATAATGTATGCAAAGGACACAAACCCTGCAATTATCTAGAAGTATGTATTTGTAGATTGCCATTACTTAACATGTGTAAAGGTGTCTTTGTTGTCATATCATACATACGGGTAAAGGTCCTCTTTAAATACAGTCATAAAGTTCATCAGCTCTGTACAGAAATGAAAACTGCGTTCTAGCAATTTGCAGGTGAGGTCTATTTACAGCACCATCACAATTCAACCAGTGCTTGCTGACCTTTACCAGCTCTGTGTTGAGCTGACATTTGTACCCCTGAGAGAATGAACTATGAATCCCATATCAATAGACAGCACATGGGGAAAGGTCTGTCCCACCTTCCCGTCCAAATATACCACTATTAAATGTGACCTTCCAAGGTGACAGAGATCAGCGATCTTGGACCAGCCAGCCTCCTCTAGTCTGAATTCCTGTCTATCTGCACTCGCCACATACGCCGTCACCCAGCAGTCTATTTAGTGCACTTGCCAGACTGGCTGCCCTGAGCATTAATCCAGACTAGGTGATTGATTGAACAGTCAACCAGCTAAACAAAAAGTGATGAGGGAGGTGCTGGATGAAGCAACGCAAGATCAATAAATCTCAACACGGAATTAATAGCACACCACACTGCTGTCCACATCTAATTAGAAATCAGCCATTAAACCCCCCTGGCTTGTCGCATCTCAGTGTTCTGTAGGAATGTAAACCCTTACACTGCCAGCATAAAATGTATAAATAATGTACGAATACTGACATTACATTATAACTAATGGCAGATATAGATTGAGATAGAATGGTGATGGGTTAGAACCCTGTTTATTCTTGCTTGTGTCCTTGTTGGGGACATTCTCTCTCAAACTGTATGTGAAGGTAAATCCACAATTTTGGGTCACCGCCGAGAAATCCTCCAATGTGGACACTTCTTCCCGTTACAACTAACAGGGTTATTCACAAAAGGGTGAAGAGTTTGGAGAAGGCCGGAGAAGTGAACAATCTAGGACAACATAACTGATTTGGAAACATTCTCCAATTCAGGTCACTTTCCAGTCCAGCGATGTTGTCCTAGATTGTTCACTTCTCCCACCTTCTCCAAACTCTTCACCCTTTTGTGAATAACCCCGTAAAAGAGTGAAAAGCAGGAATCACCAGCACTCCGTAAATGATGTTCAAGTAATAAACGTCCATTTATTAGGACAAGTCGTCACAAACGAAATTACCAACGTTTTCGGGGCCGCACAGGGTCCCTTCATCAGGGTGATAATGTGACCACCGTGAGTATCCCTGCGAGCACCACTATTGCTATTTGGCCGGATGTGCTGTGAGGAGTGCGGAGGGACTTACCATTTTCTAACCCTGTAAGAAGGGATTTCCATCACATTGCAGAGATAGCCTCTTACTCTCTCCTTAGGACAGGAAGTGAAGGGAAATCTCCCTAATTACATACTAACGGCAATAAAAAAAATCTTACAGGTGGAATGTGATGGACTACACTGTCTGCGGTTTTGTTATATGTTATGAGGACTGCATTGGTGTGATATCCTTACTATAATTATGGTCTCAGCCGCCCCCCCCCACCAATGAGATTTGGGTGTTTACACTCCTGATGGGGAGATGGGGATGGATATGGGGATGCCCTGGTAGTTGTGTCAGCAGATGTGCAGGCCAGGTAAATTGGCAACAGAGATCCTGGCAATGGAGACCTTATGTTAGCACTGGACATCTTGGCACCGGAGATCTTACAGTGGCACTAAACTCAGGAGTAAATCTTAAAAAATACATTCAAGTACCTTTAACTTGTCCTTCCTTCTGGAGGGGGCTACTTTTGTTCCCCATGGTCCCTGTGTGTGTTGTAAAGTAGCCACCACTCCAAGCTCACTCCTGTGATGGACTACAATCTCAATACAAATTAGAAAACTAAACGTGAGATTGTAGTCCATCCCGGGAGCGAGCTTGGAGTGGTGATTACTTTACAACACACACAGGGACCATGGGGAACAAAAGTAGCCACCCTCCAGAAGGAAGGACAGTGTCAGCACCAATTCAGAGATGATTTGAGGACCTACAGCCGAGTGATATACACAAATATGGTCCAGTATTGTTAATAGTTAAGGTACTTGAATGTATTTTTAAGATTTCATTTCTGAGTTTAGTGTCACTTTAACACTGAAGTCTGGAAGGGCTTTACCTCTTCAGAATACACCAAAAACATCAGTGACATGACTTCACTCTCACCTGTCTCTGTAGGTTTAGGTCTCCTTGTACCTCTTCTAGTTTCCTTTCCAGCTGGCGCTTTACATTCTCATACTCCTCCATAAGGCGATCAATAGTACTATTTTTAGAGCTGAAACAACAGTAAAGATACACTTTAGGCATCTGGAGTAGAAGGTCACTGATTATAAATCACTAGGTCAATGGCAGAGCACACATAGCATGCATAGCAGCTATAGATTAGCTTTTTTACTCTGCAGCGGAAGAGGAAAACGTAGTCAGGTTAAAGTGTATACAAGTCAATAATGTGCCTTGCGATCCCGTGCAGGCGATCGCATTGCGGCCGGAGGGCGTGGCTACGGTGCCATTCACTTAAATGGCCCGCCACGCCCCCCCCAGCCCGCCAAAAAAGTGAGCCGGCCGCAATGCAAGGCAGTGCGTTCCAGCCAGAATCGGACCGGAACGCACTGCTTATGGTGTGAACTAACCCTAATTGTTCATTGCCTTCTATTCCAAAAAATCCAAGATGTCTATAGAGTCCTATGTACAATCCTGCTCCAAAGAAACAACTAAAAAGGCAAGGCCCCTTTCAGACAGGTGTTCGAATCAGGTACGCCTGTCAGTTTTTAAAGCAGATCTGATTGGAAGCCCAATGTTAGTCTATAATCAGCCTGCAGTCCGTTTACATCTAAATACCCCCATCCCTGTCTGGGTCCAGAAAACAAAATGGAGCAGAGTTCTGTTTTGGGGGACCTGATCGTAACGCATCGGGGGTAATCTGATGTAAACGGACACATGTCCGCTTACATCCGACTCCCCATAGACTTAACATGGGTCTGGGAAGTAAATTTTTTTCTCCTCCATCATAATGGAGGAAAAAGCTGGATGGACACGGATGTCACAACGGTGGACGGGTTCCCTGCTGATCAGAACTGACAGGCTCCCATGTGAAAGGGGCCTGAGTCCTATTTTTAGATATGCTGTGTGAATGGGAACACATAAACATATAGTGGAGCGTTTCTCAAATTTGACTGCAAAGGTGGAAATACACTTTCAGATATACCTAAACCCAAAACTTTTTTCTTTTAGGCCCCGTGCAGACCTACGCGATCAGGGATAGCGCGCTACTGCACAATGCAAGCCGCGATTGCCGCGCGGCCCCATTGATTTCAATGGGGTGACATCCAATAGGCAATCGCAGAAAAAAGGTACATGTACCTTTTTTTTGCGATACACAACGCACGGCTGTTTTAGCCGCGATCCTGTTCAGAAGCACGGGCGGAATCGCGGCGGGAAACTGCGGAATCCGCCCAGCGCGACTGGGGTGCCACTAGAAAATAATGGCACCCACAGCGCGATCGGTGCACACCTAGGCGACTCCTGACCGTGCTGCAATCCGTGCGCAATTGTACACAATTGCAGCGCGGTGAGGTGTCGCCTAGGTGTGCACCGGCCCTCAGATACAGTAGAAAATGCACACTCCCAGCGCTCAGTAAACCGAGGCTGTATTCTCCTCCATCAGCTGCCAGTTTACACAATAGGGGAGAGGTTGTCATCCTCAAGGCTAGTGGGAAATATCCTCTTAGAACATGCAAAAAAAGAAAGCGCCTTCTCGTGTATTATCATTTATTAAGAAGATAAAAACTACTCACATGGACAGATTTTGCAGGAACATTGTATAAAAATTGGATGCTGCAGCAGAGCTAACGTGCTACGGGGGAGAGCTGAAACTCCTAAGAAGGTGGGATCTCTCCTGAAACGTGTTAGCTCTGCTGCAACATCCTGATTTTTATTAGGGCTGTTACTCATTAAAATTTTCGTGTTCGATTAATCAAAAATGTTTTAATCGATTAATTTCTATTAATTATAACGCACATACAGATCCATCTACATTCGCCTATACACATACAGCACAGCAATGAAGTAATAAAATGAACTAGGATCACAGTTGCGCCACTCAAGCGCCGGCCATATTGAGTGGGGCACCTGAGATAAATAACGTGCTGGATTACTGTGATCCTAGTTCATTTTAGTACTTTATTGCGGTGTGGTGTATGTATATAGGGCAATGCAGCGGATGGCGCTCGTGCACAAGACCTTTCTTGGCCAAACCTCGTAGTTCTAAGGAAACCGGTAGTCAAGCGGTCCCAGAACTCGATAAGTTGGGACTATCGATAGAACACCGGCCCAAGTGGCTCCGTCGGCTAACGAAGGGAAGGGGGGAGGAGTCCGGTGACATCGACGTCACCGGACTCCTCCCCTTCGTTAGCCGACGGAGCCACTTGGGGAAGGGGGGAGGAGTCCGGTGACGTCGATTGTCCGTGACGTCACCGGATCTCCAACCAGACTCCCGGAAGCCGGCGGAGAGGTAAGTGTTTTCATTATTGATCAAAATAATTTTAATCGATCAAAAATATTAACGATTAATCGGGTAATTAATCGTTAATTTCCGCAGCCCTAATTTTTATACAATGCTGCTGCAAAATCTTTCTGTGAGTAATTTTTATCTTCTTTATTATCGTCTTAATAAGTGTGTGTGTGTGTTCTTTATTATCTTATTAATAAGTGTGTAAGTGTGTGTGTGTGACAGTAGGAAAGGGTTTATAATCTGCTTTTTATGTTGCCCTCTGTGTCCCATTCAAAACTTTTTTCCTTTACTTTCTGTCCTTCAGGCGCAAAAGGAAACAAGATCACATGTCCCTTAAAGCAGAACTAGACCCTCCAATTCAATGCCTTCCAAAATAGAATTTGACCGAAAAAGTGGAAATACATTTTTGTACCCAATTTTGACAGAGATTCTCCTATATAAGGTCTACAAAGTTCCCCCAGAACAGCAAGTCACTGAGGTGGAATAGTCTGCATCCTGTCCAGGTAGAAAAGTCAAAGCAAGTCTCAGAGTGGTGCTGTCATGGAGGATGAACAGGGGGAAATAAAGGAAAGCTATATTCATGTAATTACTACGGATTGTAAATCCATGTAACACTTTACCTGTTTAATTTTTCCAGTTCTATCTGCTGCTCAATGATTCTCTGTTGATGATGACTCTGTAAGTCACTCAAATTCTTCCTCTCTCTCTGCAGCTCTTGCTGAAGCTTCGTAATCTGTACTCTCAAGTCGCTTATTTCAGACTGCTTTACATTTTCCACGACCTTCAGTCTGGCGAACATCACTTTGCACTCCTGCAGCTCGCCGTCTCTCTCAGCCAGCACCTTGAGGTTATGGATGAAGTCCTTCTTCAGCCTCTCAAATTTCTCTTTTTGCTCCTGGAAGTTTGTTTGCACTTCCTTGAGGCTCTTCTGTAGGAAAAGGATCTGACGCTGTTGCAGCTCCTTCCATTCTTGCTCCTTTTTGGCTAGAAGCTCTGTTAACTCTTGGCCTTCGGGCAACATCTTGTATGCTGTGTAGTACTATGCTATTCTAGGAAAACAGATAATACAGATAAAACAGAAAATAACAGAGAATATGGAGATGACCACCTCCTTTAATGTGAAGGGTTAAAAGGTACTCTAGGGCTGCAACAACTAAGCGATTATAATCGATCATGAGAATCGTTGGCAGCGATTCTCATCGATTAGTTGCCGTCACTCTGCTCCTCCGTTCTCCTCCCCACTGGTGCTGGCTGCAACCGTCTGTGTTCCTTTCAATCCCTGCTGCTCCCCCCGCCTGTATTGACAGAGGCAGCGGGGACATAGACCACTGCAGCCAGCACCAGTGTGGAGGAGACTGCTGTGACTGCATTTCCCCGCTGCCCGTCCCGTACCTATGCTGCTGCCCCATTCCTTCTCTGCCACCCGTGCCTCCACTGCTGTTCCATTCCTTCTCTGCCCCCTGTGCCTCCGCTGCTATCCTGTTCCTTCTCTGCCCCCCATGCCTCTGCTGCTGCTCGATATCGTATGCTAAAAGCCGGGAATCAAGCAATTAAGACAACAGACCCTTAAGCTGGCCATACATTATGCCAATTTTCACACAGTATTTGGCGCAGTCGGCACCCTTTCAGCTGGCATCCCTCAATCAGCTGTCGAAGGAGCCGGTTGGAAAATCTTTGAACGAAGGGTGCATGCAGCCAATCAGCTGTGAGCACCATTCGTGAATTAACACAAAGGAAACAGCGGGGGATTCCTCGACCAATGCTCGCAAGCGTTGATGGAGGAATCTGTTCTATTGGAAAGAAAAAAACAGCAGTATATGGTCGGCTTGAATTCTGGAGCCGTGGGTGGTCCTTCAAGCACCACCTGGCTCGACATAAGACGCTTTAAAAATCGTCTCGAGCCTGGTGGAAAATTATTATTATTATTTATTTATTTTTAAGCCTGTGGAACGTGCATCTATAACAAACCCGTGAACAAAAAAAGTGAACCGTGAAATCACAGCACACAAAAACGTGCTTGGTCCTTCAATAAAGAAGGGATCTACTTTCCCGACCCCCGGGGGCGCAAGGCTCCTGACAGGGGTTGAGAGTCTGTTGGTCCACCAACCCTAAGGCCGGTGGACCCCGATCCTTTGGGGACCTGCCAGAATAGGTCCCTCACAGTACTAGGTGGGGGGCTCTCCCGAAGAGAGACCACCCAGGTTGGGAGGAGACAGAGAACCCTATATTAGGGCACAAAATCTCCTTCCCCACATCGGGAAAAGGCTCCGAAGGAACCTGCACCCTCCGCAATCTGTGGGTAAAATGTCAATCAAAAGTGCTAATAGTGCAATAAATAAACAATAAGTGCCAGTGCACCACGCTGACAGGCCTTAGGGGAAAATTATTGGCTGAACAGTGACTGGCGTCCTATGTTCGAAGGCACAATTTTATTCAGACGGGATTCAGGGTTTGCCTGATCACAATGGAGATCTCCTTATCCGTACTGTTAGCGTGAATGGAGGAAATCGAGCAAGTTTTCTGTCTCTTGCGAGCTGAGCGACCTATGGCTAGCCTTAGATGTACTTTAGTGCTTTTGGCTGTCTTGTAAAAATGACTGTTTTGTTAGAGTTGGATGAGCTGGGCTTTGCACAGCAGGGGATGCATGGCACCATAGCGTGCCCACCTGTGAAAAGATACAGAACATGCAATGCAAATTTCTGCAGGGTAGGCCATTCTACACTCCACCCTTCCCCCTCCCCAAACACACCCATATATACAGCCAGCCAAGGGGACCAACACACAAGTTGCCAGAGCTGGCAGCATCTTGTTCTATCGCAGCAAAGCATGCCCCCAGATAAATATTATCTGTCACTAGCATTACAATGGAAACATATAACGTGAGAGCACACGAATCCCGGGGCTTCTCACCTCCCCGCTTCCGCTACGGCTGTAGAAAGAAGAGAGACGCAACTCTCAACCACGCGCTTTAATCCAGGCCGCGGCGCCACACTAAGGACCTCGTTTCCATGGCAACCGCAACTCCAAACAAGGTCTGGCCGCCGCTCCTAGGCCCCGTCTCCGAGGCAACCACACATGAGTACCCTCAGTCGTAGTTTTAGGTGACTTTTCTTCCGGTTAGCAGACAAGGAATCCCGCAGTAACGACCCTGTAGCTTGTCAAGCCTTCTGCTGCTTATTATTGTGAGCTAAAGAGGCGTTATTTCCGGCCGAGCTCAGGTAAATTACAAAAAAAAGGTAAAGCAAACTGGCCCTGCAGGTTTCCAAATGAAGTGTCTAAGAGCAAACTAGAAGAATGATAACGAATGTACAGCACTCCTTAAGAACCGCACCATTTAATTGGCACCACAACCGACAGTAACATATTGCAACGTACTGAGGGACCATTCGGGCCTTGGCGTACTGGTGCATTGTGTTAAAATGCATTTTTTCATACGTTACCATGCATTGCTTTAAGGCAATGCACCAAAATGTCCTCTTACGTGGGTGGTCAGTAGGAGTAAGAATGCCCCCTTATGCGGGTGGTCAGTAGAAGAAAGAATGCCCCTTATGCGGGTGGTCAGTAGGAGGAAGAATGCCCCCTTATGTGGCTGGTCAGTAGAAGGAAGAATGCCCCCTTGTGCGGGTGGTCAGTAGGAGGAAGAATGCCCCCTTATGTGGGTGGTCAGTAGAGGAAAGAATGTCCCCTTATGTGGGTGGTCAGTAGAAGAAAGAATGCCCCTCACGCGGGTGGTCAGTAGGAGGAAGAATGCCTCCTTATGTGGCTGGTCAGTAAAAGGAAGAATGCCCCCCTTACATAGCTGGTCAGTAAAAGGAAGAATGCCCCCTTACGTGGGTGGTCAGTAGAAGGAAGAATGCCCACTTACGGATGGGTAGCCAGTAGAAGGAAGAATGCCCCCCTTACGCGGGTGGTCAGTAGAGGGAAGAATGCCCCCTTATGCGGGTGGTCAGTATGAGGAAGAATGCCCCCTTACATGGGTGGTCAGTAGAAGGAAGAATGCCTCCTTATGCGGGTGGTCAGTAGAGGGAAGAATGCCCCCTTACGCAGGTGGTCAGTATGAGGAAGAATGCCCCCTTATGCGGGTGGTCAGTAGGAGGAAGAATGCCCCCTTATGCGGGTGGTCAGTAGGAGGAAGAATGCCCCCTTATGCGGGTGGTCAGTAGGAGGAAGAATGCCCCCTTATGCGGGTGGTCAGTAGGAGGAAGAATGCCCCCTTATGCGGGTGGTCAGTAGGAGGAAGAATGCCCCCTTATGCGGGTGGTCAGTAGGAGGAAGAATGCCCCCTTATGCGGGTGGTCAGTAGGAGGAAGAATGCCCCCTTATGCGGGTGGTCAGTAGGAGGAAGAATGCCCCCTTATGCGGGTGGTCAGTAGGAGGAAGAATGCCCCCTTATGCGGGTGGTCAGTAGGAGGAAGAATGCCCCCTTATGCGGGTGGTCAGTAGGAGGAAGAATGCCCCCTTATGCGGGTGGTCAGTAGGAGGAAGAATGCCCCCTTATGCGGGTGGTCAGTAGGAGGAAGAATGCCCCCTTATGCGGGTGGTCAGTAGGAGGAAGAATGCCCCCTTATGCGGGTGGTCAGTAGGAGGAAGAATGCCCCCTTATGCGGGTGGTCAGTAGGAGGAAGAATGCCCCCTTATGCGGGTGGTCAGTAGGAGGAAGAATGCCCCCTTATGTGGGTGGTCAGTACAGGGAAGAATGCCCCCTTATGTGGGTGGTCAGTAGAAGGAAGAATGCCATAAATGGGTGGTCATTAGATGGAAGAATGCCCCCTTGCATGGGTGGTCAGTAGAAGGAAAAATGCCCCTAATGTATCCTCAGAAGGAAAGAGACTGTCTCTTTATGTGGGTGGTCAATACGAAGAAGAAGAATGCCCCCTCTACAAACTCGCACACTAACGCACAAAACCCAAGCAGGAAGCAATCACACATAGAGGAAACACATAACACACGCAGTAAACACACACAGATACATGAAAAACACATAACACACACATGAAACCTACACACAGGAAACACACACAGATATATGAGACACACACCACATACATGAAACACACACACATCTACCCGAGCTCTCACCTCTCTTGTTCCTAACCGGACCCCATAGTGGCTGCTTGGGCCAATATGGCAATAGTCATCCCACGTGTTCATTCACATCAGTCCCTTCCCTCAAGGAGTTTACAATCTAAGGTCCCTATCTCACACATACTGTCAATTCAGACAGGAACCAATTAACCTTTTTAGCATGTCGTTGGAATGAGGGAGGAAACCCGCACAAGCACAGTTATAACCAAATTGAACCATGCTTAATAGGGTTTTTTTGCCTTCCTCTGGATCAACAGTGGGTAATTGTGGGCATAGCATTCTGTTTAGGCTTTTTTTTTTTTTTTTCATATCTCTATATAGGTTGAACTCAATGGACATGTGTCTTTTCTCAACCTGACTAACTATGTAACTATAACATGCAAACCTCATGCAGATAGTGCCCTGGTTAGGATTTGATCCTAGAACCTCAGTGTTCTAAGGCAGAAGCGCTAATCACTGTGGCACTTGGCTGATTTGTGTTTGTTTGGCTGCCCTCTTTGGAAGAAACTCCAAAGCCCACAGAGTCCTGCTTTGGATTTCGTGCACCAATTCGCCATTGCACATGATGCAGTTCCATCCAAATGTCAAATATTCTACTTAGGTGCTTCCTTTCAGGTTCCACGGTACAAGCATAAATGCTCAACACAAAGAACCCAGCTTATGTAAGCATTCTCTGACTCTCTACAACTGGTATAAGATTGACAGTTTCAAATGTGCACATCTGATTATGAATTCAACAGCTGGTTATGGGTTCAGCTCATTGGAATTCAGCGTGGAATGTGTTGTTACATAACTTTCACTTTTCTGGTGTTGACAAAGTCCCAGACCAAAAGGCTCATTTGAAGGCAGACTGCTTCACTCATCCTATATGATGTAATTGGTCTTCAGCCCAAGACAGTCCCTGCCGCATGCTGATGAAGCGGATGGATGATATCGGAGTAATGATTCACTGGTAGCGTC